AGTTCCAGGACCCTCTTCTATCTTTAGGTGTTCCTTGGCTTGTCTCACCTTCCTATGTTCTTTGTATGTCTCTTCACATCATCTTCCCACTGTATATGTCTATCTCTGTGTCCAAATTTCTCCTTTTTATAAAGATACTAGTCATATTTGATTAGGGCCCACACTAATGATCTTAACATGATCATCTGCAAAGATCTTATTTCCAAATAAGATCACATTTACAGGTACTGGGAGTTAGGACTTCAACATATTTTTTTGGGGGGTGCAATTAAACTCATAACAGATAGTAAATTTAAAAGATAGAATTATTGGTTGACAGGCTTAAGTACATCATTCTACTGCCTCAGGATTCCATGATTTCTGATGAGATATTGGCTGTTAATCTTATTAAGGGTCCCTTGTATGAGATGAGTTGCTTCTGTCTTGAGACTTTGTCTTTGGAAAGTTTAATTATAGTCTATATCAGTGCAGCTCACTTTGAGCTTATCCTAGTTGGTACTTTTGGGTTTGTAGGTTCATATCTTTTATAAAATTTGGAAAGTTTTTGGCCATTTCTTGGCCATTATTTCTTCAAATGTTCTTTTGGCCCCTTTCTCTCTTCTTTTGGGGCACTGCATGTAAGTATACTTGATGGTATCCCAAAGGTCTCTTGGGGTTTGTTCATTTTTTTCTTTATTTTTTTTCTTTGTTTCTCACGCTGGACAATCTTAATTGATCTGTGTTCAAGTTCATTGATTCATTCTTCTGCCTGCTCAAATATGATCTTAAGCCATCCTAGAGAATTTTATTTCAGTTACTTTTCAGCTCCAGAATTTCTGTTTGAATTTACAGTTTTCCAGAATTTATAGTGTTCTTTACTGATATTACCTATTTGTTCATGACTTGTTCTCCTGGTTTCCTTTCGTTCTTTGATCATTTTCAAGACAGTTGATTAAAAGTCTTTGCCAAGTAAGTCTAATATATGGCCACTTTCAGGAATGGTTTCTATTAATTTGTTTTCTGTGAGTGGGCCTTTGTTTTTTGCATTCCACATAATTCTTCAAAAACTGAGCATTTTGAATATTATAATGTAGTTACTCTGAAAACCATATTCTTCCTTCTCCCAAGGTTAGTTGTTGCTGCTCATTGTGAGTTGCAGTCATTTGTATATTTAGTGACTTTTTCTAAACTGTTCTTCGAAAAACTGTATTACTTACTCTTGTGTGGCCACTGAAGTCTCTGTTTCATTAGCTTAAAAGTTAGGTAGTGATTTGACATTTCTTTAAATATCTGGAAACAAACAAACAAAAATACTCTACCAGTCTTGGCCATAGGCTTTGTGTTGGGGCACTCCTTCAACACTTGTTGACACTGTTTGCAACTCTTAGTTTTGTTTTCACTTGCTGCTTGTGCAGAGCCGAAAGGTCAGCCAGAGGTGAAAGCTAAGAGTTTTTTTCTGAGATGAATTCAGGCCTGGCCATGTGCATGGCTTTCTAAATCCCCTTGTTTCTAAATAAGAGCAGCTTTTCATAGCTCTTATTCCTCCATGTATCTCCTTCCACACCCTCTTCCTTCACACACTTCTGGTCTGTCTACTGCTTGCTTCATGTGTTTTCCCTTGTCCCAGGTGGCTATGGTTGGTTAGTATATTTGCCAAAGTAGAATTTGACAAACTCTATCCTGGAGGCCACCTCAGCCCTGAGAAAGCTCCTAGGCAGGTGAAACAAAGGCAAGTCCCTGGGCCAATGCCTCAGGGAGCCACCAGACAGGCCAAAACACACATCATAATTCTTTGAGAACAAGGTCTGTGTTGTTCCCTTTGCCACCAGCAAGGAATGTGGCCAGGAATGTGGACTGTCATCTTCAATGACCACTGAGAAGCTGGAGAGCAAGTGATGGCAGGAACGTAAGTTAAAATGTCACAACATTCTCTAACCAAAATTCAACAGCTGATTTCTTCATTAAGCATTCCCCTGATTATTGTAAGTTTTTTAAAAAAATTAGATTCCAGAGTTCTGAAAAAGTTGATTCTGACAGTTTTGACAGCCTAGTCATTGCTTTAATGGAGGGGCAGACTTAGAGTTCCTTACTCTGCCATTTTTAGTGGTGCCACTCATTAAATCTGGAGGGTTCTCAGTTCTGACCACTTTGGGTGTTTCCTTTCCTACATTCTCTTTAGTCGCTTCTTCTGGAACTCCTATTAGGCTTATGATGAACTTTTTCATTCCATATTCTCTGTCTCAACTTCTTTTATATTTTCTCTCTTTATCTCTCAGTGCTATGTTTTGGGTAATTTCTCCCCATCTTTTAGTTCACTAGCTCTCCAGCTTTGTCTGATATACTTTTTAACCCATCTAGTGACATTTTTCTTTCAGTAATGATACAGGGTGGGACAAAAGTAGGTTTAAAGTTGTGAGTACGCAAAACACAGAGTTTATTTGTGTTATTATTTATGAATTATTGTATTGTTTTCCATATGAACTATAAACCTACTTTTGCCTCACCCTGTATGTTTAATTATAGACATTATATTTTGTACTTTAAAAAAGACCTGTCTGGCCCTGACTGGGTAGCTCAGTTGATTGGAGCGTTGTCCCAATGCGCCAGGGTTGCAGGCTTGATCCCTGTTCAAGGAACATACAAGAAGCAACCAGTGAACGTATAAATAAGTGGAGAAACAAAGTTTTTCTTTCTCTCTAATCAATGAAAAAATACCATTATAAAATACATCTGTCTATTCTGTCCTCATAATGTCTTATTCTTTTTTTAGGGCTCTTATTTATGTCTTTAATACTTTTAAATATATTTCCTATTTTCTGACAGTTTTTCGAATATCTTGTATTTTCAGTGTTCTAATACTCCCATTTGTTATGTTTGCTCATTCTTGATTCTTAGTTATGAGGATTTTAAAATTCCCCCAAATGAACTATGAGTTAACTTTTGACAAAGGGCCCCACCCCTCACGCCCACCCTGTGAGACTCTCTTTAGGCTTTGACTGTGATTTCGTATTTGTTTCTGTCAAGAGTCCCATGGATAGCATCAAAATATCATCAAATTGGGATCAATTTTCATGCAGTTTTAAGATGCATATGATTTCTAAGCTGAAGGCAGTAAAAATTCAAACCAAATCTGTATAAAATCCAGGCTCAAGATTTCTGTTTCTCAAGGTGGTCTTCTTTTGATTTTTTCCACTCAAAGCTCAGGCAGAGATGAACACCTCTTATTCCATCATCTTGTTTTCTTCTTCCTCTGTGTTGGGGAAAGGTGACTTCTCTGTCTTTTCCCTAAGGGTATTGTCTCTGCAGGTTTCTGGCTTTATGCAGGGCCTGCAGTTCTAAGTCCCCACTTTGCTTGGGACCAAGGCTTCATTCCTGGCTTGAGAGTGGAAGAAAACCCATACTCTGGGCTTCTGGGATAGCACTCTGTGAGCTGTTCCACCACACTTCAGTGGCTTATTCCCCCTAGGAGTTCAGGTAAGTGCAGCAGCTGTATTTTCAGGGTTCACTGATTTTTCATCTTGCTGGAACCAAAAGTGTTTTCTCTCAAACTCCTTGGCAGGGAACTTGTTCTTTCCCTATACCTTTATTTTGTCCTCTGCTTATCCCTTTCCCAAGAGTCTTATTTGGCCCTCTTCTCCTTTTTTGCTATACTGGGGGTTCCTCACATACTTCACTGAGACTTGTGGATGCCTGGACCCTAGTGACTTTTTTTTTCATCCTTACCCAAAGGTATGTTTTGATTTTAGAGAGAGAGAAAGAGTAGGGGAGAGGGAAAGAGAAAGAAAGAAAGAAAGAAAGAAAGAAAGAAAGAAAGAAAGAAAGAAAGAAAGAAAGAAAGAAAGAAAAGAAAGAGAAAGAAAGGGAAAGGAAAGGAAAGGAAAGGAAAGGAAAGGAAAAGAAAAGAAAAGGGGGAAAGAGGGAAGTTGATGTGAGAAAGAAGTATCAGTCAGTTGCCTCCCATACATGCTCTGATTGGGAATTGAACTTGGAACCTAGGTATGCATCCTGAGTGAGAATCGAACCTGCAACCTAGGTATGTGCCCTGACCAGAAATTGATCCTTTTCATGTACAGGATGACGCTCCAACCAACTGAACCACCTGACCAGGGATGGACCCTAATAATTTTTAACAAGTTGGCAGGACAGAGTGTAGTTAAGGACACAGATTCTACTGACAAAGCTGGGTTTGAATCTTTTTTCTGCCACTTACTGGATGAGCTCCCTGGGGCAAGCTCCTCATCCATTCTGAGCCCAATTCATGTGTAAAGTGAGTGAACCAGTGAGCATAGGACCCTGGAGGCATGCTGGGAATGTGCAATGAATAAGGGGGCCCTGGGTGAGGTGGGAGTTAGGTGTAGGTATGCTCTGTGCTTACACAGGTAAGAGGCAGGCATTCGAGTCCCCAGGTTCCTCCTCAAGCACTGTACATTTACTCCTCAGTAACAATCACCAAAGTGAGTATTGCTGTTCTCCTGTTACAAACGAGGACACAGAGTCTAGAAGTGGTTGGGTAACTTGTTTAGTCCTATTCCAGTGGACAACTGCTTTGGGCTGAACATCTTTCTGGGCAGAACATCCTTTACAGGGATAGTCACTGGAGATCTAACGGCTGCTTTAGAAGTGATTTTAAAAAAAATCTCTTTTTATTTTACTGATTTATGGGAAGATTGTTTTTTTCTTTGCATTCTGGGAATGGGGAACCTTTTGGGTGATCTCCCAGTTAGATGTGAGCTGGTACAGGGGTTGGGAGGAAAAGGTAGTTGCTACACCTCCCCTCCACCCAAGTAGAGCAAACCCTTAGGCAAGCAAAGACCTTCTGGTTTGACCATGAGGTGAATAAGAGGTTCCTGCCCCAAGCTGGGCTTTTTCCGAGCCTTTTCTGCCTAAATTCAGTTGCCTTGGCCCCAGCCCCACCCAAAGGTGCTGAGCCCATGTCTGGGCACAGATGTGGGAGGTGAGGCAAGTCTGTTAACACTTATGCATACACTAGCCTTCGGCACTCCCCACTGCCCCTCACTTACAGTAACAGGCCACAGGATAAAGGGCATGTATCTCTGGATGGCGAAGGTGTAGATAATGATGAAAAAGCTGAAGATGGACAGTTCCATGGTGATGACGAGTGTCAGGAGGGGGTGCACAGCGGTCCCGGTGAGCATAACCATTGCAGCTATTAGGCAACCCTGCCGGGAGACGTAGGCCTGAGCCACAGCAAAGGGCTCTCACCTTCTCCCGAGCCCCTCTGGAGCCCTTTGGAACCCACTCCTCCCTCTCTCTGTCCTTGAGCCCCCGCCCAGGAACACCAGGCCAACTTACCAAGCTCAGGATCTTGACCTCGGCGTGCCCCATAACCCAGAACTCTCTGTTGCTGTCCTTGAATTCCCACTTGTAGCGGCGACACCCCTTCCGGGTGCCCACTTCATCCTTGGGCTGTACCGATTTTACCTTTGGCGGAGGAGCCTCTCCCTCTTTATCTTTCTGGGCGTCGGGTTTGGCTGCTGGGGGCGCCGCGGCGGGGGCAGGGGCGGGGGCTGGCGCTGCTCCTTTGCCCTTTTTGCCTTTGTCTGCCATATTTGCGTGGGACTCCTCAGCTTCTCACGGCCTGCCCCAATTTCACTGCTGTCCCTGGACAGGCCTTGCCTTTGAGCCAGCCTGGTGCCAACCAGCTTCCTCAGAGGCCACGCTCAGCCAACGGCCAAGACCGCCTAAGCGAACGCTTGGCGCCCTTTCCGCGCGTGCGCGCCCCTTCTCACCGCACAGGGCTCGCCCACCGCACCGCGAGGATGAGCAGCCCAGAGGTCGGCCCACCCCCCGCGCAGGAGCTCCCGCCCCACCTCCGGGCCACCACCGGGGCCCCACCTCCGCCTGGAGCTCCCCTCACGCTCCCGCGTGGCCTTGCAAGGTGGGGCGCCAGGGTTGCGTTGGCTGGAACGAGGGCGGGGCCAAAGGCCTCGCCGCGGCCTCCGGGCACGGCCGTGCCCAGCACCCCAGGGGCGCACCGGCCTGTGCAGGCAAATGGAACTCGACTTTTATACAAGGCAACACGTGGAAGCAGAAGTGTTCCTGACTTAGCAGCCCTGGTTTTATGATCACATGTGGGCCGAAATGGGTGACAGCATGTGAGCTCAGGAGTGGGAGGGAGGTGCCCGCGAGGGTGCTCGCGAGGGTGCCCGCGAGGGTGCCCGCGAGGGTGCCCGAGAGGGTGCCCGAGAGGGTGCCCGAGAGGGCGCCCGAGAGGGTGTGGGGGTGAACGCCTTCTCGGATTCTGGGGCGGGTTCTGCGGCAGGTTCTGCGGCGGGTTCTGCTGGGTCTGGGGAGACACTGGTTTCGTCTCCGAATCTCAGCACTTTTTTCATGACAGTCCTCATCCTCTTGGTGACCACAGTCGCATCGATGAGACACACGATTACCGCAGCGAGACACAGGGACTGTCAGGCACAGGACCACATGCGGGGAGGAAAGGCGGGGTTATTTTGCGGCTCAGGAGCAACCTGTCTGCCTTGTCCCCATCCCGGCGTGATGCCTGCTGCCTCTTGTCCCTCTCCGACCCTCCAACACCTGCTGTGACCCTTTCTGCCCCTCCCAGAAAAAGGAATTTTGGAAGTGGTGGGTTTTGCTGCCAGTCATGACCTCACCCAATTCCTAAGACACGGGAAAGGACCAGAGCAGTGCCCTGGCCTTAGAAGGTTCCAGGTGGAGTTGGGGTGTTGAGGGGGTGCTTGTTGGGCAGAACTCTTGGGCTAAGTTTGAATGTACAGGAAAGAGTTCCCCAGGGAACCAGCTGGGAGGAGAACTCCAGGTGCTGGACTGAGGTCTCCAAGGCTGAAACCTCTGGAGCTGTTGAGGGAGGGGGCAGAGTTGAGGCAGGAGGGGTGCAGGGTCTGGGACTCTATCAAGAGGAGATGTCCACTGTCAGACTCAGGAAGCCCACTTGCTGAATGGAGAGGGGGCTGAGGAGTGGACCAGGCTGGAGGCACGGGGACCAGTGGGTGGTGGTGGAGCTCCTGCCTTCCAGGTGAGAGCTGATGGAGGCCAGGGGGCGGGAGCCTCTGGCAGGAGGGAGAAGACTTGGTGGTTAGCAGAGGGGGACCGGCTCCTTTCTGCCTTGAACATTTCTCTTTCTGGTCACTTAGACTTAATCTCCCAGCTGCTTAAATGAACTTTTCCTAGGTAGGTGTCGCCCCATCTAATCTGTGAGCTCCTCCAGCGGGCAAGCGCTCTAACCCCTACGCTGGCGTTAAGCTTGGCACAATTCGATGGGATTGGCAAATATTTACTGATTATGGAATGAATTTAAAAAAACTCAAACTTTTTTTTTCTGGATTAATTTCTGTTACCATTGCTTAACTTCTTGAATCAAAGTCAAAATCCTATGTATAGACTTGTTGCAAGGGTTCAAAAAATAGTGTGTACGATTCTCAAAAGGGGTTCAACAGACTTATTTTTGTCCCTATTTGGAAAATGAGTATTAAAATGAAGATTTTCTTGAGTTTAGGGTTTGTGTAACTTCACATCTTTCGAAGTTGTTGGTGAAAGGAAGAGAGGGGGTGGTGGTGAGGATGTTGTTTTGTAAGTGAAATAATGAAGAGCTGCCAGCATCTCTCTTCAAAAAGTCTTGAAATATTCATATAAAATGGAGCCATGAAGACCTCTACTTACCCCTCCAACATAGAATAAATGCCTTCTTTCCTTTTCGTGCATTGCCAAGACAGCAACTATTAAAAGGAACACAGTTGTAATGAAACTGTTGATAAGATCCTGTAATACAGAATTAAAAATTGTCAACTTTACATGAAAGTATAATTTCATAAAATATTTAAGTTGGTCAATTACCCATCTAAGGACAGATGCCTTTTGAAAACTTTCCCTTTGATTAAGAGGAACCTCTAGCAGCATAATTCTTACATCTTCCAGAGACATGAGTTTATGTAACTTCAAGGTCCTGGATAAGACTTTGTCAACAGAAATGGGTTTAATTTCATTAAAGAACAACATTTAAAAAAAAGCTGACAGCTTTTCCATCAAACTTTTCCTAAAGGCCATAAAAAAGTGAGCATGAACAAAAACCCTAGAGATCGGGGGGGCCTATCGCATATCGATTTCCCATAAATATTTCCTGAAGACTTATATTGTAAATTAATGTACTTCTGCATTCTATTCCACAATATATTTGTTTTAATATAAAAATACAATCTTAGAGTAGGAGTTTGCTGATTTAATTCTACTCCCAAATCTGCAGGTAGAACCGATCCTTTGGAAGTTGTGTCATATTTATTCTGCAGGTTCCCACATCCGAAGAAGGCAGGAACCCATCTGCAGAGCAGGCCTGGTACTCCAGAGTAAATGCTTGTGCTGTCGACCTTGGCTGTTTCCTAAAACATGGCCAGAATTCAGTCTGCCCTGACGTCTGTAGGCTACGTGTGGCCTTCCTTCTGCATTTCAGTACTGAGTTCTTCAACTGCTAAATACAGGGTGAGGGTGAGTGGGTGGGGGTGCATTCCTGAGTATAAGCAGAGGCTGGGCTTTGGTAGTGGAACAATAGTGGAAGAGACGGGCAAAAGCCCCGGGTGATATAATTATGATATGGCTCAGATATCTAATTTGAATGTTTTTAGCTTTAAAGTGGCTTGCCTTGGTAGTGTAAGCCTGGCTGGTATACTTCCCCAAACGTAGCAAGCTCCCCGTCGCCCCCCATCCAGGGTACGGAATCTTCATGGCTCCAATGGAGCTCTCCAATGGGCCAAACATTTCCCGGCCATTGTCTCATTTCACCCTCATAAACACCCTGCAGAGTCAGTATTGTTATGCTCTCCATTTAAGAAGATGTAACAGAGACTTAGAGAGGTTTAGTAAGTTGCCTGAGATTGACTCTCTACCAAGGAGAGACACCCAGATAAGGAGGAAATGAACTATCCCCTTAGGTTGGAAGTGCAGCATCTGTCCTTGACATTTTCTGTGGAATGGGTCATGGAGGGTCAACTAGATATAGGACAAAAAAGGGGAGAATGTCTTTTGTTGATGGCATATGTTGAACTCACTTTTGGCCTGCCAGTTCCTAGATGTGTGACCTGGGGCATGTTTTATCAACCCTCTGGGCCGACATGCTAGTTTTTAACATGAAGATAATCATTGGGACTTACTGGGCTGTTCTGAGGGTTGCATGGAATAATGAATCTGAAAGCATCAGGTAAGGTGCCTGGCATTAGTGGGTAGTGGGAGTGCACCAGAATGTAGATTTGTGATGTCCATCCTCAAAATGTGCACAGATTGTAAACTTTTGGCAAACTCCAGGTATTTTTTTCTATTGATATTGGCAAGCGAGGAACCCTTTGTGGAGTGTGAACTTGCTTCTGGGAAACACCGGAAGAGGTACATGGAGCAGGGCTGGTGAGGGCTGGAAGTAAGTTCCAGCTGGGTTCTGTAGGCTGAGTGAGAGGTCTGGCTACTGTGGGGCAGGTACAGCAGTTTGCAGCTTTGCAGGAAACTTAGTACCTGAGGCCTGTGCAAACTAAGATGTTCAAAGACGTAAACAAAGAATGTTACAAGTAAGAAGCAGAGTATAGACTTTGTAAAATAAAAATTAACTAGCTGTGGTCAATTTGGATGAAAGTACATTAATATTGATAATAGTAATAAACCAAGTGCAGACTAGCCCTACTTAGCCAATTGCTGACTCTCTGTCATGAATCCATCTCCTTGTTGGACTACTGGATGTCGTAGTTTACTCTGATCTTTCCTCAAAAGGAAGTGCTGTCCGGAACTGTCCCGTGGAGCTAATGTTTGCCTTGAACCTAACATTTCTATTGTAGCTCACATTTCTTGAGCACTTACTATGTGTCACATTCTATGCCAAGGTGTTAATACGTGATCTCATTTGATTCTCACAACAAAATTTCAGTAACTCTAATTTACAGATGGGGAAGCAACTTACCAGGGGTTGTTCAGCCAGTAAGTGGCCATGACCCTCAGCAATCTGACTTGAGTGTCCAAGGGCCTTCTGACTAACCCCGTTCCCTTTTGCCTTAGACATAGACCCTCTTATTAACCTCATCTTTGACAGAGAGATGTAGTCTCCCTCGATCAGGCAAAACTGCAGCCAAGCCTTGCTACGTGCAGCAGGACCTCTGGTTTCCCCGTAAATGCCATCCTCATTCATCATCTGTCACCTCCCCACCTTGACTAAATACCCTAGTGACGCAAGGAACCTCCTCTTGACCAAAATGACAGATGGGTTTGTAACTTGATGGTTATTTTTCCTTAAAGCTCTCCAACTGCTCTCTGAGATAAACAAAATGGTATAGAATTATAACCAGGAAAGAAAAAGATGCTAATGTTGAATGCTTATTTTTAAATATCACTATTAGAAAAAAGTTAAACATTTAAATTTGTTTCACAAAATGCGATATTTGTAACAAGAATTTATACACAATAAACATTAGAGGATGGTCAACTAACTGCAACTTTCACTGGTTCCACTTGTGTCAGGAGTTCTCCAAACACCTGGCAGAGTCTGATCAGAAATTACCAAAACTGTGGTTTTTCATTAATCATATTTGAAGGGGGCATTCTAAAGCTGAAACTTCTCACATATAAGTGTAAACATATTGCTGGTAGTTTTTGAATCATCACTTCTATAGGGTTTATTTTAAATCATGTTTATTATGTTCTTTTTTAAAAATTGCTTTCTGTTGGCAAAAACATCTGCTTGACCAGGACTCAGTTCCTCTGACCATACTGGGTAATATTTTTTACAATGTAGAAGTGTTAAAAATATGGGCTATTCAGAAGACGGTGATTACAATTTATACTCTTCTTGGGTGCATTGATACTAGGCCAGGGTAGGTAAAATGGACAAGGAAGTCTAACAATGAAGAGGGTGACCCCGCCATGGTGAGCTGAGGGAAGCGGTATTCTAACCACCTCTGATGCAGAGCCGCACTGACAGGCCAGGGGCTGACTGAGGGTTGGATCTGTGCCCTCCCCGTGGGCACCAGGGTCGCTGGCACAACCTTCACAGAAGCAAGAAGCTGCAACTGAGACAGGGGTGTGGGTCCTCAAGTCCAGGCTCCAACATATCTCCAGAGGAGGAGATCCTGCCAAAATATGGTCCCAGCGTCCACAGACCTCAGTAGGTCAGAGGCCCGTACTCCTTGGTGCCACCTTGCTTGAAAGTCTGAAGCCTTGATTCGTCAGACTTTCTATCTCCCTGCTGGGGGCTTTCACCCTTAGCTCTTTACCAAAGAAGAATGAGATTTCAGGGATCAGGAACTTTATCTTCGCATGAGCCTTTAAGGAAATTGCCACTTAAAGTCCTTACCCTAATCCTTTGCCTCCTGGGCACCAAACCATCTTGCCTGGAGAGAAGAGCAGAAAGAAAGTGGCGGCTGTGTGGGCGGGGCTTCAGGCCTGTGCTGAGTCCTGAAACAGTGGCAGTTAAACAGGTCATGCGATCTTTGGCTTGCTGCACTGACCTCCTCACAAAGTCCCAAGTGACTCCTACAGTCTGATGCCAGCGCATCTGCAAGTCCACCCACTCTCTGAAGTTTCACTTAGTCACCTCCTGGGCGTTAATATTGTCACTAAGCCAGCACAGTTCTCCCTATTACCACCCAGTGGTAGCTATTTACCACCCAGTGGTAGCTATTTACCCCTCAGAGCAATCTTCTATGTACAGGTCCTTCATCTTAGGGGATCCGAAAGGGCAGATTAGAAAGGAAGGGACTGGGTAGACGAAGAGAATCTAGGTTTTGGCTCTTGTTTTGATAGGTGTTTTTAGAAAACTTCCAAGTTAGTTAGATTACTCACCACCTGACCAACTGTGTTGGTTAGTATGCGGTCGCTTACATGTGGACAGCTAGTTAGTTGCGCATCAGAATAATTGGGCAGCCTTTGTGGAAAGACAAAGTTTCCCACCCACGAAGCCCCTGGGAGGTCACCAGGTATGTCCACGTGCTGGTCCAGGCCCTGGCCCACACCCTGGAGGAAGGTGGCAAGGAAAAATCAGAGACTCTGAATCGCGCTCTGGGCTCTCATAGCCATCCAAGGAAAAGAGAATGCTCTCCCCCAGGGACCGAGGTAGCAGAAGGGGGCCTGGCTTTGTCAGAGTTCACCAAAGGCCTGTAACTCTGCAAAAGCTGGCCTGAGCTGCCTGTGACCACTCTCAGACTAGCTCCTCTCCCAGGACCTTCATGGGTTCCTGCTTAGGAGACCCATCTCTCGCCGCTGCCTGAGACACTACTGGGACACCGGCCTCAGCCTTACAGCAAAGCATGGTGCCTTGCGGCTCTCCCCCACTTTATGGCGGCGGACCTTTTCCCAGAGGGCTCTGGTCCTCCTGCCCGCAGCTGCTGACCTTGGTACTGTGGAGCCCTCAGCCACCCACCCTGAGGGCCTGTTTCCCCCTCCCCCAGGATAATCAATTCATCCTTGGCTCCAAATTTGAAGGAACCCATGAGGAAACAGGACAAGATACAGGGAACATAAAATTCAGAGAATCTGGGGAGAACAAAGAAGGAGGGAGGGAGGAGATGGAGAAACCATCACAAAGCGATAGGGCATACAGAAAGCCGGGAAAGAACATGGGCTTCAGAGGCGGACAGACTTGGGTTCAAATCTCAGTTTCCATGCCTGCATATGACCATAGGCAACTCTAATCCAATGTTCTCACCATGTCAAACATGGAGTTTTGTCAACCCTGTCAAACAGGGAGTGGGGGGTGGCTACAACCTTGTCGGGTTGTTGTGAGGATTAAATAAGGTAAGATGTAGAGAAAAAGTATCTGGCGCATGGTATGTGCTCAAGAACAGTTACTTTACCTTCCTTTCTTGAAAATTTCCATGGACAGAAATTTTAATTTCCCCTCTGAAACCTCTGCATGGCTATAGCTCTCCATGACTAAGAGGGTCTTCCATATGTCCAACTTAAGTTGCTCAGACTTGGCTTTGCTTCCTGTTGCTCGACACTCTGTGGGGCAGAGAGAGCTCAGCAGCCTTTTTAGAAAATTCTCTCTGTCACTTGGAGAAAATATTTTGAGTTTTAGCTCAATTGCAACCAATCCTACCTTAAGGATAGAAAAAGGTACTATTCGTAAGTGGGGTGTGGAAGAGGCCTGAGCCCCGAGTTAGGATTGTTCACAGTGCAAACTAAAATGGTAAAAGCCACCCAACTGCCTTATGGGGTCTGCGGGACACTTCATAGTGAGTATTTACTTTGTGCCAAGCATTGTACTGTTACAGGAACCTACGAAGCATTTATTATCACACTTTTCCTTCCCTGAAGTTCCTAGACAGGGAAACTGAGGCTAAAGTTCACGCAGCTAGTCAGGTGCAGGGCCAGGAGCTGGGCCCATGCCTTGTCTGTGAGGATGCAGAGCCTCAGGCTCCACAACAAACAGCATTTACCTGAGACCTGAGGGATTAGCTTCAGCAATGTTTCAGCTGTTAAAGAATGTGGAATTCTGACACAGCTGTTGAAGAAGGCTGTTCCATGTCTTCACCACCTGGCTGCCCTTTGGGAGTATGAACCCTTAACACTCGGGAAAAGGTAGACTCCTTCAGTCTTTCTACAACTCTGCCACGTCCACTCTTGCTTTGTTTGAAAAGTAGAAACGTGCTTTTTTACTAGCAATAGGTAAGAAATGGGTACCTACTGAATATAGGAATTAAAATTTTCTTTAGTACAAGCTGAAAAGTGCCACATGTTCAGGACCCTAATGAGATGGAAGCAGGTGTGTGTGTGCTGGTTGTCTTGCAGAAAGTGGGTCCAAGACTAGTTTCTTTCCCCCAGAATAGGAAACATCCCAACTGTCACAGCTCAGTTATGTCCTTGTCCAGAGATTCAGCTCTGGGTGTTTTCACCTAAGTAGAGCCTTTACTCTGGGGCTGAGGACAAAGCTTATATTTGAATTACAAAAATGAACACTTACAAGTAAGGGCCAATGTATATAAGTCAGCAAGTGGTGAAGTGTTAGCATGTATATTAGAATAAAAAACAGAACAATGCAGGTTTCCAGAACTGTGATTGCTATGTATGACCCATGGGCTTCAGCAATGATGAAACAAGCTGCTGATCCTATGAGAAGACCCTGCAATAAAAAAAAAATTTTTTTTCTTTTAATGCACATGGGCTATACAAAAGAACATGAATAGTCAGAATGCAAATATGATTATATTGAAATTGCCTGTATTGTTTTGCACATACATTTTTAATTTTTAAATTTAAAAAAGATTTTATTTTTAGAGAGAAGGGAAGGGAGGGATTTTCTCTTTCAGAGAGAGAGAAAAAAAATCAATATGGGAGAGAAACATCGCTTGGTTGCCTCTCCCACACCCCCAACTGGGCACCTAGCCCACAACCTAGGCATGTGCCCTGAGTGGGAATCGAACCAGTGACCCTTTGGTTCACAGGCCCTCGCTCAATCCACTGAACCACACCAGCTGGGGCTAATACCCACTCTTTTTTATATACACATTCTCAGGTGGATTTGGGTCTTTTTTGATACTGTTTGCTTCCATCAATTAGATGGTTTTTTCTTTAGTACTTTTTGAAATTAAAAGAAATTTGTTTTATATCATATACTCTGACCTGAGTCCCCTTTCCGTACTCATCCTCAGATTGTTTATGCCTCCCATACTTGCTTTGGTTAAGTTCTCCAAACTAAGCCTTTTGGTATTTTAAATGGGATTTAAATATAGTTTAATATAGTTTTAATATTGAATCATCCTATGCTTCTTCTTCATGGTGTATTTTTAAAAAGTTCTGATGAACAATTTCTGTTAATATGTTAATACTGCTTTGATCAAGTGAGATTTCTATTTACTTTTTTCCTCAGCTTGCTCAGGTTTTGATATCTGTTTTACTGACTTTGTAAAAATAGTTCAGAAGTGGGTTTGGAGTTTTTTTTTTCTGTTCTTTGAAAAAAATTGCATAGTACCAGAATTACATCCCGTGAAGGTTGAAGGAGTGAACCTGTGCAAAAGTCCGGTCTGATATCATTGGATAATTCCTCATTTCTTCTGTGTTTTTATTGGTCTATTTAGGTTTTTCTGTGATGTGGGATCAGCTTTGGTAATCACTATTCTCCTAGGAGAAACAACTATTTCATCCAATTATTCAAATTGATTTGTTTTGCAAAGTATTCTTATGTATCCTTTCAGTTTCCTCAGTATTTGAGATTATTTTCCCTTTCTGGTTTCTCCTCTCCCTTTTTTCCCCCATTATATTGGCCAGAGGTTTGTCAATTTTATTGGTCAGACCTGTTATTTGTGTTTGCTAATTTACACACTTGTGCTCTTATCTTCTTTGCTTGCCTAATTCCCTTTGTGAGGGGAAACCTGAGAAATACAGAAGACAGACAGGTAAAAAAGAAGCCAAATTTAGTAGTAAGGTTTGAATGTGGGGGAGGAACAAGAGGAGAGGTGCGGAGCGGGGGCGCGAGAAGAGGCAAAACAAGGGTGACTGGCAAAGGGAACTAGGGAAGCTTCCCCGAGGCTGAGGCCTGCAGCCGCCCTGCCCTCGCCCAGCACCTGCCCAGCCAAGTCACCAGCTCTCTGCTCACCAGCCTCAGGACCTTCAGCGCTCCCGTGGGCGAGAAGAAAAAATGCTTGCAGCTGTCCCTGAATTTGGGTGGGACTCTGGTCCGACCCTTCGCCCGGTCTCGGATCGCCGCCTTCTCTGATTCGCTCAGCCGCTCTGTTTCGACTGGCGTCGGGTGTAGGGAAACTGTGGGCTTCTTTGAGGGCGCGGCGTGCGTGCTGGGTTCCGGATGCTCAGGGCGTTTGGGCTGCTGTACCGAGTGTGCGCCGCGCCCAGGATGCCCGGAGGCGGAATGCCCCCCGGGTACTGGACGTGTCCGGGGATGTCCGTGGGATGGATGTCCCTCAGGGTCTTCAGAATGCAGGGTGGATTCGGGCATGGTTATGTCGGGCTAGCCCTGTGCCTCTGAACCCCGCACGGTGGCGGCCAGCTCTCTCCCTGGGCGCCAGCGTTGCGCCCCAACGGTTGCCGGCTGCCCATCCCTCGCGCACTCCCAGCTCTCCTTGCCCGAGGACAAACCATGCTCTTCAGCCAACTTCCTCCCCACCTGAGGAGCACGAGAAGCCAAGCCTGGGAACTCGGTGTCTGCCCCCCCGACTCCCCAACTCCACTGCTGCCAGCCAGCCAGGAAGGGCGCTCCGGAGACCATTTAGAGTATTTCCAGCGCCTTCTCTGCCACCCAGGCCCAGGAGCGGAAAACCCACCTGATACCCTCCGGCGCTTGCATGCAGCGCTTCCGTGCAAGTTACAGCACAAGTGAACACTGGGCTCAGAATTCCTAAATCTCTTCCTCCAACCCCCGTATTGAGATTAAAATGAGAACAACTGCAGAAGTCATAGGGAAGCGTAAAGAGATACGTTTAATACTAAAAAAAGAATATAAAAGTACAAAACTTATATTTTTTCATGAACAGCTTTTTTCTGATAAGGACCACTTGGATTAAATAGAAGCTTCCTGCACATGAGAACCCCGTCGGCAATGCAGCACACCACCACCAGAAGTCCGAACACCTGGGAACAAAGGCACAGTGTCACTGCTGTGATCTGGACTTCCGTCTTTCACACAGTTTTGGTTTTTGTTTTAAATGTAATTTTTAATTAATTAATTAATTAATTAAAAGGGGTCTGCCCACTGTCTCCTCTCCTGCCAGGGTACTGGGGTAGCTCACTGCGGAGCCACCTAGAACTAAACTTGGGGAGAGACCTCAGGGGCCATTTCATTCTCACTCCCGTGCTTTCCCAGTACCTGCCTAGAGAAAGTGAAAAGGTCATTTAGTGAACAGAAATAAGATCGAATTGGTGTGGGCTCTGAAATAAATACTTGTCTGGATCTCTGGACTTGCTCCTGCAATGTATCATTTAAAGGTCTGCTGATGTTTATGAGCAGTTGTCAGTCAACATTTATATCTCCAGTGTTCAACAGGTTGACTCGCCCATTGCAAACTCTACTGGAGAAAGGGTCCAAGTTAGCACCAGCTCAAGATTAAACCATGGCAATAGCAGCTGTGATGAAAACCTTGGAGACCTGGAGTGATAAAATAGCGCAAGGGGAACTCTCAAAGGCTGGGCTACGTCCACGTAAGGGGTGGGACTCCAAATAAGCCTTAGGAAAATAAAATTAACATAAAGGGAATAAACTAGGACATAGACTTCAGGTACCCTGCTGGCTCTTTCAGAACTGCTGCCTGGGCTGGAGAAGGGGGATGTTGTTCCCTGCATGCTATTTGTTCAGCTCCATTTAAAGGCCTGGAAGTCTGGCTTTTTGGCTCCAGACACGGCTTCTTTTCCACCCTGGATCTCAAGCGTGGCTTCCTAGGTTCTGACCACACTAAGTACCTCCTACTCATCCTTTCATGACTCTGGTACTCTGCACGTTGCTGGTTCTTCCACCTGGAACCTTCCCTGCTTTTCCCTCTATTCCTGGCAAACTTTGATTCCACTGCCAGAGAGTAGTTGCTTTCTCTTTTCTGTTGCCCAGTACTCTTGTCAACAGCTTACGTACAGCTGTTGCACTTCCGTTTCCTGCATTAGGCTCTAAGCAACCTGAGGACAGGGCTCATTTTCTAATCCAGTGCCATCCAAAAGAAGTACAATGTGAGTCACCAATGTCAGTAAGCTGCATAATTAATTTAAAATTTTCTAATAGCCACATTAAAAAATAAAGAAAAATTAGTGAAATTAATTTTCATCATATATTTTATTTAGCCCTATATATCCAAAATATTATTTTAACATGTTATCAGTATAACAAAGTTATTCATGAAATACTATACATCCTTATGTGTGTGTGTAGTAAGTCTTTGAAATTCAGTGTGTATTTTACATGTATAGCTCATTTCAATACAGACCAGTCACATACATTTCCAGTACTCAGTAGCCACATGTGACCAGTGGCTACCACACTGGAGAGCATAGATCTATACTTTGTCAGCGTACTACTTAGTAGCCTAAGAGCCTACTAAGGTGCACTTAAAGAATGAGTGAATGAATGAATAAGTCAATGCAAGTAAATCCTATGCATGGTCCCTCTTTCTCCACAGTAGAGGTTAAAGGATCTTAAAGACAACTGGGGGAAATTGGTTTTACAGTGCTATTTCATTTCTAGAGTAATTCCCATCCCTCATGAAGTTGCTTAGGGCCTAATAGGGGAGATGAAAAGCCATGGATTCTGACATACATGGCTGTCTGAGAGTGGTCAGTTCTAAGTGATCCATGCTATGAAAAGACAAGGAAGTAGGAGGGAGATTCATTGAAGAACTTTCTAATTCACTTCTCCAGATCAGAACCTAGAAAAGCCAAATGATTTTGGACCTCCTATAAGAAACCTCAGAAGAATATCAAATGGGACTATTTCAACTACATTACCTCAACGCTTTTTTAATTTTGGCTTGTTTTCCAGGATAAAATCTGATTGAACTGATTGTCGTCTCATCAAGCAGTGTACAAAATAATCCTTTAGTCACACGGCTTCCCACCACCATTCCCTTGTCATGAGACATTGTATTTCCTTTGAAGAAGGATCTAGGCAAGAGATACCTGAGCTCAGAATAGTATGTCTCACCTTAACAAGTGTTTTTTTTTTTTTTTTAAGGGAGAGCTATGCAACTCATTCATGGTATTTTTGCTTCCCATCAAGTTTCTGAGAGCTAAGTATTGTAACTAATTCCAGTAGCCTTTCTCAGTTGAGGTTTTCTTGGTCTAGTCTAGCCCTATATACCTATGAGAAACATATAGGAGTGTCTTTATTTGGTTACCCTCAGTTTTAGTGTGAAATCATGTTCCTTCATGTTAATCAGGGCATGTATTCATACAAAAAAAGTATTAAGCCACTGGGTACTGTATCTTGGCCTAGAAGACCCAAGGATGAATACAGTATAGTTTTCTGCTCTTGAATCTATTCTCTAGATAATTTGAATTCTGATCAACCCTAAAGGAAGAAGCCACAGGGCCTCCACTTACCCCTCCAAGGACTGTAAATGTCGTGGTTTCTGGTATCAGTGCCAACACCGATACGATTATCATGAAGATTGCTGTTACCAGTGAGTTGATGATATCCTGAAAACACATAATGGAACGGTCAGCTTCACAAAAAAAAAAAAAAAAAAAAAAAAAAAGAGCTCCCTAAAGCTTTTAAAAGTTCCATTTTATTAAACAAATTTATTGTTTATCTTTTAGGAAACCAAACTGCCACAGTAAAATAATACCTATGTTATGTTTGGGCTACAAGGACGCCTAGTAGTCCTCAACCTATAATCCATCAATCATTGAACTACTTAACGGGCTCATTCTTTTTTTCGGCTTAAATGTAGTTGGAGGGAGAACTCATCTGGTTAGGAGTGGATAATGTAATATGTGGAAGGTTTAAGGTAGAATAGTAGGTACACTGGGAAGTCTGGATGCTCAGTTGTAATAATACAAGTGTAAAGTAGTCTATGCTGTAAATCAAACAAATTTATAATGTTACTAAAACACAATTACTAAAACTAAAAGCAGTGCAAACTTAGGAGAAAGTGCTAATTTTCAGGAAGAAACTCCCACACATCTATAGGCAGCAGTTGGCCAATTATGCTATTATTTGTGATGATGTAGCTCATTCATTTAATGATTTTTTGAAATGAAGCATTTTCTTTCTGACCTTTGGCTTTAAGAGGTGCAGCTTACATTTGAAATGGATATGTAGTGTAGGAAAGGTAAATCGTCTTTACTCTGGAATGGTTTATGGATGCTTGCAGATAACCGTAGACAGGAATCGTCAACATAGAAATATCAAACTTCAAAACTCTGGTAACTTAAAAAAGTAGTTATTAAAAAGAAACTAAGAAAGAGGGTCAATGGAGACAGGCCAAGATTAGATACACTTAGGAAGAAAAAAACTTACTTGCAGGAGATACAAAGATTACCTGTCCTACGTTAATGCCCCTTGGTGCTGGATATTTTTGCTGTGCTTCAAGGCAACAGACAATACTTCTACTTCAGACAGGGCCCTGAGTCCTGTGAGTGATTTGGGTGTGTGTATATGAGTCGCTCTGGATAAATGTGGTCCAGATTGTGCAGAGAGCCACAGGAAAAAGAAGGATGCACCTGCCCTGGCACATGGGTCTCCCTCGGGTCCTCCCTTGCTTTTCTCTGGCCACTCCTCCTTTTCACCGCATATGCTGGTATTTCCTAGTTTTACCTTCAGCTGCTCTACATGCCCTCTGAGCCATTTAGGCCAGTCCCAGAGCGTATGTCCATCACAAGGTGATGTGATGACTCCCAAAGCTGCAGCTCCTGAGCTTCACATCTGTTCTAGACATTTCCATCTGAATTTCCCACATGCAACTAAAACCTAGTATTTCTCAAACTGAACTAATTACGAACCACTCTCCCTGGTCCTTCCTTAAAACTATTCTTCCTCCTGCCCTGGCTGAGATGGCTCAGGGTACTGAGTGCTGGCCCGCGACCCAGAGTCGCCAGTTAGATTCCCAGTCAGGGCACATGCCTGGGTTGCGGGCCAGGTCTCCTGTAGGGAGCATGTGAGAGGCAACGACACATTGATGTTTCTCTCCCTCTCTTTCTCCCTCCCTTCCCCTCTCTCTAAAAATAAATAAAATCTTAATAAAAAACCCCTTTTCTTCCTCCTATACTTCCTATCTCATTTCCCTCTCAAGATTGTCGTTTAAATGGCAGGTATCCTTGATTCTCCTTGGTTACTCAGTGTTATCCGTTCCACCTCATTAACATCCCCTTTCTCTCCAGCTACTGTTATAGCCTTAGTTCAAGGCCTTTGTCAATTTCATGCTTGGGTTATGGTAATAGACTTTTAAGTGATCTCTCAGACCTACCTTTAGTTTTGTTCACCTTCAAGCCATTACTGACCCTGCCACCACTGCCATCTCCTAAAACTGTAAGCTGATCATGTCACTCTCCTACCTAATCTTGCAGAAGCTTCCAGCGGCCTTTGGGCTAAAACTCAGGGCCAACAAAGCCTTGCATGCTCTTGACCTCCTGCTGCTTCTCAGGCCTCTCTTGCCCCCTCTCTTCTCCACAACTCAGTATTCCAGCCACGCAGAACCACCTACAGATTTTTGAGGGTCATGCTTTTTCTCCCCCTGCACCCTCACGTACACTGCTCCTTCAACCATGAAAACCCTTTCATCCCCGTTATCAGTCTGCTGACTACTTTTCATCCTTCAGCCCTCAGCTCAGGCATGGTTTTCTTCAGGAGAGCCTGCTATGATTTGGTCTCCTTCCCTGGCTGGGTGGCTCTACGTCACCCTGGGTGTACGTCTCTCAGCACCTACTACACCAAGTTGCTCGTCTGTCTTTCTTCCTGGCTTTACCGAAAGTTCCTCAGGTACAAGATTTGTGTTTTGTCTTATTAAAACAAAAACAAAAACAACACAACTATTACGGAATCTGGGATTAGCAGATAATTTAACACTTGTTGAATAAATGATTTTGTTAGATCAAGAGCAGAGAGGAATATAGGTTTCGTAATGGAATAATAACTTAGTTGACCACATAGCGGCATCTCTAAAAGGTTACAATATCAGCAAAATTTGATCTTCAGAGATTTAGACACTACTTTAAATATGCTACACATAGTCCGCTCTCCCTCTCAGTGTATTCTGTTAAATTTAGGGCTCCAAGTTTATTACATGTAAGAAGCTCCAGAGAATTATTAGTTTAGAGAGAAATAAATGCTAACTTGTGTTGTTCTATTAACCTTGGAAAAGCAGAGTATGAAGAGCACCTATCCAACTGTTTGAGTACAGGATTAAAAAGATGTGGACCACGTTCATCATCATCCTCAGAATAATTTAGAGTAGGCCTTTTTGCCACTAAATGATGTTACATTTTCTGAGGGCCAAAGGACGAAGGCTTTGTTATCGCTTCTCCTAGACTTCCCTCCAGTCAGGCCCAGCTCTCAAGTGTAGATCAAGTAGGATTTTGGAGAGGTGCTATGAAGATGCTTTCTAATTCCAAACTTTACCCTTTTGGGGTTTCTCAGCTTGTAATTAGCCTGAAATGCTCATCTTTGGCCTTCAAAGGTGGTTCCAGAAGGTACCACGCTAAGGCATGTTTATGGTTTGAGAATGGCTCTAAAGCCCTCCTTCTTTAATAGAGGTTATCAGCTTGGATGTCAGCACTGTGAGAGGATGAGACAGGCGCAGCAGAGGGTCTTTCGAGGGAGATCTATGGAGACAGGGTGCTGGGATGAGACATGAAAGAGGAGAGAGAATTGAAGTCACTCACTCCTAGAACCAGCTTATTGTCCAGGTTGAAGAACTGTATACACTTTAATATCTTCAACGTGCCTATTTTGACAGTTTACAGAACCACTGGGGCACTCCACTGAGCAGTTATTCCTAATGCTGTGAATATAGCAGATGGAATCCATATGCTACTAAAGAAGGCCCTACGGGATGAGTTAAAAAATGCTCCGTATTAATGATTGCAGACATTTTTCAGTAAGGCAATTGTGTGCTTTATTGCACCTCCCAAGTTACTTTAATTTTCCATTTAGTGATCAGGGGTGTGCAAGATACAGATACTGTGTATCTGCCTCTGTCTCCATCCCCCAATTTTGAGGCCATATCAACATATATTTAAAAGAGAGGGAAAGGTTAACAATATTCTATAATTAATCATGATCTTTAAATTTTTTAGAAAGCCTACAGTTAGTTGAATTCTCCTAACAGAAAGGTCAGCCATATCTACTTGTAGATGGAGCTCAGAGGAGAATTTATGCCCTGTGACTGCCCTGGTTCCCCGAGAATCTTCCCGAGGGACAATACAGAGCCCGTTAGCAGTGGGTTGAGTCCCTTCTTCCTAAGCCTATCAGAGATTCCTTACTGGCTAAAGGAAACTAAAGAATAGAGTTTATTAAAATGTCTCACTATGGCAGGAAAAAGTAGTTAATTTTAATAATGAAACAACACTTACAAGCAAAGGCCAAAATATACAGTTCATTAATCGATCAAGTCTGAGCATATATAAAATTATGAAAAAGAAAATAACGGTGACTTCAAATCCAGTGATAACAATGTATGGTTCAGGGGCTTGTGAGATGATAAAAAAGGTCATAGATGTAACAGTTAGTGCCTGTAAGAAAAAAAAAACATGATTTATCAATGATTATTGAATATAAGTTTAAGCTGTAAAAATGATCATTTCTAAGATAGCTAAATAAACCAGTTTCTGCCACATACATCTAAAGGAGGCATGACTAAAATGTAGAGACGTGTGTGTGTATGTGTGGCAGAAGCTGTTTATTTACTTATCTGCAACATCCTCACTACGTGCTTATCTATGCCTGTTACTTTTGCTTTCTGGGAATGTACTACCTTCTCAAGTGGCCATTTAATTTTGGGAACTTTCCCAATATAAAATTCTTCCTCAGATTAACCAGAACTGCTTCCCTGTAACTTTGAACTATTTCCACCCCTCTCCCATATGTCACTTCTTTAACATTTAAAAATTATATTTTCCTTCCCTCTTTCTCTTAAATTCCTTCAGCATATTCTCCTGTGGTAGTTGCCACTTCTCTAACTAGGCAGGTCACCTTTCGCTAAACGATGATTCATTATCCTCAAATGCCTGCTCAGAGCTGACTTTCATGCCCCTGGTGGGTAGGAGGCTCCAGGAACCAGCAATTCCATGCATAGTCTTGGCTCTGGGCTGTATCAGCCTTGAGCTGGGGCACTTCTGACTTTTTGTAAGTAAACACAGCATCCACCTTATCTTGTCTTCTTGTCTTGTCGGCTTCTGAGTGGTACAACTGCAGCTACCTCACCTGCTAACCTGGGTACCTGGTTTTGGGTCCAGCTGTAGGCCATTCAAGTAAATGTGCTGATTTTGCTTCCTGATTGTGTGAAGTCCCTGAAAGTGAGGACAGTGCCTTATTTCTCTCCTTCCCTTGGGTTCAGAGAGAAATCCCTTGCCTCTAGGGCGACCTTGATGAATACAAAGTTGCAAGAGAGGACAGGGCATTCTACTTCTTACTTTATAGTCCTCTCACTGCCCGTGATAGCTCTTGCACACCGCCTCCACCCTGCAGCTGGCCCTCACCAGCCGCAGCATCTTCACATGGCCTTTCACGCTGAAGCAGAAAGGGCGATGCTTCAGCTTCTGGGCCGGCATCGCGCCCACAGACCCAGCAGCTGCACTGGCAGCCCTTCAGCGTCCCTCCGCCGCACACTGCTCCACCTGGCCTCCCGCGTCTGCTGCAACGGCCGCAGCAGCCTCGCACCCTACCCCTCCCTGCCAGCTGGGCTTTCCCTTCCCACCCTCACGCGCACTTGCGCATGTTCCAGCTGCCCACACAATTACGCATGCGCCCCAGGCTGGTGTCCCTCAGAGGGCCGCTGGAGTTGGTAGCGCCCCCCCCCCCCCCCCCCCCCGCGTCTGTTTGCACCGCTCCAACCCGCCCTGCCAGGCCAAAGACAACTGCTCCCCAGCTCTCCACCGTAACCTTCCCCTCCGAAAGCGCTCCAGGAATGGCTGTCCTGCCACCCCCGACTCTGGACACCTCAAATGCTGCCTGCTTGGTTACTCTGCCTGGAGTAGCCACCATCACTCTCTCCTCATAGCATTTATCACTAGCTGGTATGTACATACCTTAAGAATATAAATTGCACAAGAACAGGGACTCACCAGTGTGCTGCTCTCCCTGCAGTGTCCCCAGGGTCTGGCGCATGGTAGATACAGAATATGTGTAGTCTGAACTAATGGCTTGGGCCTCATACCCTACCCTTGCCCTTAGCGGATCACGGTCAGGGTTTGTGAGCCTGTTTGTTCTGCGTATTTGTATTGTGGCCTCCCAACACTGGTGCGTATTCTTCCATAGAACAGCCTGTGGCCCTTCAGGTACTCAGTTCAATTCGTGTTTTTCCCTAGGGCTCCTATGAAGCCATAGCCACCATCTTGGAGCCTTTCTTTTTAGGGATGTGAAGTATATGTGGCTTCTTTTATTTTTTATTTATTTTATTTTATTTTTATTCTCGCCCTAGGACATTTTTTAAAATTACTTTTAGAGAGAGAGGGAGAGACAGAAACATGGATTGGTAGCCTCCCATATGCTCCCAGCCTGGGATTGTAGGCACCCTGAGCGGAAATCGAACCCACAGCTCTTCGGATTATAGACCCATGCTCCAACCAACTGAGCCGCACCACCCAGAGCATATGGCTCCTCTTTTGTGATTTAAATTCCATCTTGGATAATTTGGCCATCACCCCCTGCCATTCAGACCTCTTGTATCCTGCCCATCTCAGCTTCAGTCCGTTTCATTCAGTCAAATCCGATCAGCAGGTCCCTCCAATAGCCTCATCTCAAATCACTTGCAGAAATTTTTGAACTTTATCCTGAAGTTTGGTCATGGAGGGCACAGACCTGCCATGTGATAGGTCTGTGGCAGACATTACAGGAAACACAAGGCAGGCTTGCAGGTCAGGTAACAGGTTACAGAGACTGAGTGACCCCTCTCGCAAATAACTTCCTTTTCTGTGCCCACCAGGTGACTTATAGCATCTTGCCGTCCTTGGGAGAGCTGGGAAACCCCTCCACCCAAGCTCTGGGGCAGGCACGCACATGCAGTCACTGTTCCTTACTTCAGTAGCTTATGTTATGGGACCTGGGCTTCATCTACCTCACACCTGGGCTAATTTTTTGCTACCTGACTATGGATGGGTTTTACAGGCTTCCTCCCCACCCTCTATTTGTCTGTCCAATATTAAAAAGTTTAGGAGTTTATCTGAGCCCTGACCAGTGTGGCTCAGTTGGTTGGGGGCCCTCCCACAAATCAAGGGTCACTGGTTCCATTCCCAATCATGGCATGGGCCTGGGTTGGGGGCCATCCCCAGTGGGGGCGCGAGTGAGAGGCAACCAATCAATGTGCTTCTCTCACACATTGATGTTTCTCTCCCTTCCCTTTTGCTAAAAATAAATAAAATCTTTTTAAAAAAATGTTTTAAAATCTTTAAAATCTATTTGAATTGGGCAGCATCCAGTGTAGCAGGTAGAAGGGAGCTCCTCGGATTTGTACACAATGGAAGACTTACAGGCAGAAGGGAGCAGGAACAAGGAAGTTACACGAGGCAAAAAAAAAAAAAAAAAAAAAAAAAAAAGCCAGCTGGTTATTGTAAGGCTCCTTTCCTTTAGGGGATGACATAGGTCTATCAGATTTCATTTCTGGGAGAGCCAGAAGCATAATTAAGCTAAGTCTTGGTTTGATGATGTGGGGCTTAGCATAAGCGATTCCAGTTTGTGCCTGTTGTCTTGCTTTTGTTTTATTGACATATAATATCCTATTAATTTCAGGTGTATTTCATAGTGATTTGATATTTATATGTATTATGAAATCATCCCCATGATAAAAGTCTAGTTACCATCTGTTACCATACAAAGTTATTACAGTATTTTTGACAACATTCCCTATGCTACATTCCATCCCCATGACTTGTCTATTTTATAACTGGAAGTTTGTATGTCTTCTTCCCCTTCACCTGTTTCATCTGTCCCTCTCCCCCAACTCCTTTCCCCTCTGGTAAGCACCTGCTTGTTTGTTGTGTCTGTGAGTCTGTTTGTGTTTTGTTTGTTCATTTATTTTATATTCCACCTGTAAGTGAAATATATTGCATTTGTCTTTCTGTGTCCAACTTACTTCACTTAGCGTAATACCCTCTAGGTCCATTCATGCTCTCACCAATGACAAGATTTAATTCTTTTTTACAGTTGAGTAATATTCGTGTGTGTGTGTGTGTGTGTGTGTATAAAATCTTTTTACCATCGATTGTTGATGGACACGTAGGTTGCTTTCATATCTTTGCTATTGTAAATAATGCTGCAATGAACATAGCAGTGCATATAACTTTTCAAATTAGTGTTTTTTCATGTAAATACCCAGAAGTGGATTGCTGCATCATATGGTAGTTCTATTTTTAATTTTTTGAAGAACTTTTATATGGTTTTCCATAGTGGCTGCATCATTTTACATTCCCACCAGCAATGTACAAGGGTTTCCTTTCTTTCACATCCTCACCAATGCTTATTATTTCTTGTGTTTTTGATAATAGGCCATTCTGACAGGTGCAAAGTGATATCTCCTTGTGGTTTTGATTTATATTTCCTTGGTTATCAATAATGTTCAGCTTCTTTTCATGTGCCCCTTAGCCATTTGTAGCTCTTCTTTGGAAAAATATCTATTCAATTACTCTGACCATTTTTTAATCAGGTTGTTTATTTTTTGATAGTAAGTTGTACACATTCTTCATATTTTTTGGATACTAAACCATTATTGTATGTATAATTTGCAAACATCTTCTCCCATTCCATAGGCTGCCTTTCGTTTTGTTGATGGTTTCCTTCACTGTGCAAAATCATTTAAATTTGATGTAATTCCATTTGTTTATTTTTCCTTTTGTTGCCCTTATCTGTGGCAACTGGTTTAATATTTCCAAGAGAGATGTCAAAGAGGTTACTGCTTATATTTTCTTCTAGGTGTTTTATGGTTTCAGGTCTTACATTCAAATCTTTAATTCATTTTGAATTTATTTTTGTATATGGTGTAAGATAGTCAATGTCATTCTTTTGCATGTAAATGTTCAATTTTCCCAGCACCATTTACTGGAGAGACTGTCTTTCCCCAATTTTACATTCTTGCCGTATTTGACATAGAGTAACTGACCATATATGCATCGGTTATTTCTGGGCTCTTTATTCTATTCCATTGATCTATGGGTCTGTTTTCATGCCAGTATCATACTGTTTGAATTACTGTAGCTTTGTAGTATATAGTTTGAAATCAGGGAGCTATTTGGAATTTTTTGTAGTTCCATACAAATTTTAGGATTCTTTGTTGTAGTCTTGTTTTTTAACACCTTCCTGAGGGATCTAGTGCATTTACAGCTCAGAATCTGGATATGTCAAAGTTAAGAGGAGTGAACACAGGCTGTGAAGCAAGGTAGATGGGCTTGAATTCCACCACCACTACATAATGAACGCTTCTGATCATTTAAACAACTTGCCTAAGTTTCTGATGATCAGCCCAGCTCAGAGAACGGGAGTGACAATATCTGTTCTTGGGAAGAATAAATGACAGGGTGAGTATGTGCCACGTGCCTAGCTAGAACAGGTGCTCAATTAAGTAATCTCCAATAATTACTAACCAGTCAGTTGCTGGCATTATTGGCCATCCATCCTCCAGTCTTGCCAAGTCATGGGTTCCTTCTGCCAGCTCCCAGTTACCGGGAAAATTTCCTGGCTGCAAACAGCGAACCCCTCGTCTGGAATTATTTTCTTTCTTTGGGATGGAGTGAAATGCAACCGGGTCTCTTTAAGAGCCAGGCCCCAGTAGGCGTCCAGCCGAAGCCGACGCGGGAATGGAGGCGGGGCGTAGAAGCTGGCCAGGCACAGCGGGCGGTTCTACTGAGTCGCGCTGACTCGCACAGGAAGGAGGGACGGACCCGCCGGATCTGTCTGCGGGGCCATGCTTCTAAGGCCGCTGCGGAGCTGGGCTGCCCGGAGACTGTGCCGGGAGGGTTTCGGGAGCCCCGCCTGGGGCCGCAGAATGAGCGGGGCGCCACGCGGGGCCTGGCCTCAGGGTAACGTGTCTCTGGGTACCGCCTTGCTGGCGACCGGATATGGCTCACTTTTCAGCGTTCAGCTGCATCCGCCCTACTTCCCTCCCTGGGCTCCTCGGACAGGCCAGAACCCGAAGCTCCTCCTCGGAGGCGTAGGGTATTACTCCTGGTGGCTGCGGGGAGGGGTGGGGACGGCCACAGGCGCGCACCCCAAATACAATCCGGCAGCGAGCCAGTGAGGCCCTGGGGCTCCGGGCCGTCACTTGTTCGGAGTTAGGAAGCCCTCTAAACAGCAGAAAGAACCCCACTCCTCATGCGCGGGGACTGCTCCGGTCCCCAGTCCATCTCTTGGTATGATTCCTTTGGCCTTGGAGGAGATGGAGGCTGGGAGCTGCAGATAAACAGCCCCCAGCGAGTGGTGGGGAGTTGAGGCTGGATGCTCTACCTCTCCCATAGCTGGTGGAGGCCCTCCCCTCCAGAAACAGGAATCACTGTTACAGCCACGTTCTTGGGCCTCGGGCAGTTGGGTGGGACTCGCTCTCAGCCTTGGGCCTAGAGGAGAAACCTGAGTCCTGAGCCAAAACGCATGACCACCGCCAGCTCTTACCCTTGAGCTGAGAGTGGACACCACTTCGTGTTTTTTACTTGCTGGATCATAGATATGAAATGTGTGGAGGATGGAAAGTATAACATACTATGTGTGAAAAAGCTGAGCACAGCGGAGGCCCAGTTGTGCCAACAGGACGCAGGCAGCAGTTGCACAGCGTCACACAAAGGCAGACCGACAGCTGAAGTGGGTTAGTCTCTCTCTGGCCCACTCCCTGGTGTCAATGGAAGGTCCCAGGTGTCAATGGAAAACAGTTTTAGGTCAAGGAGAGAGCGTAAAAATTACTGTTTTTGTGGTGGTTTAGCAAATCAGGACACAGAAGAGTGATTCATTTAAAACTGAGTTTAAATATAGATTTTCTTTTGTAGATAAAGATAAAGAAAATGAAAAAGAGAAAAAGTCAGTGGTAAGTCCCTTTTTTCTGTGCTCTTTCCATATAGAAAAAATTTTTTTCCAGGAGGGGAGTAAAGGACTATTCACATAGTAAAAAAAAAACACCAACCCCCCCCCCCCCAAAACAACCCAGAAATACCAGAGGATCTCCAGGGAAAGGGAGTTCTCTCTCCCTCCTTGGGCTTCAGACCCGCCCCGCCCCGCCCCGCCCCGGGCCATGCGATATCTTTTATAATGGACTATTATTCACCCATTCAGAATCATGTTTTTGAAAAATAATTAATGACCTGGAAAGATACTCATTATGTAAGATTAAAAAAAAATAACCCAAGGATGAAAACATATGAAGCATGATTCAAATGAAATAATATATAAACTTTCTGCAGGAAAAAAACAGGAAAGAACTATTACAGACTGTTGCAGAAATTCTTAGTCTGGTAAAGGGAAAATTGGGGAGTATTAACAGTGGGTTGGAATGAGAGGGGGAGAATTTTGGGGGTGAGGAGTCTTCCCTTAGTTCTTTGAATGTTAAAGGAAATCAAACGGGTTTTTTTTTTTTAATAGCTGTATTGAGTTTAATTTAAATACTCCCAAATTCACTCATTTTAAGTGTATAATTGAGTGAATTTTAGTAAATTTGCAGAGTTGTGCAACATCACCACAGTCTAATTTTAGAACATTTCTATCACTAGGAAAAGAAGCCTCTCCTGCCCATTTGCAGTCACTCCCCCACCCACCGCTAATGTACTTCCTGTCCTTAGATTTGCCTTTTCTGAACATTTCCTATAAGATGGAATTCTATAGCATTTGGTCTTTTGGGTCTAGCTTCTTTCACTCAGCGTGTTTTTGAGATGCATGCACATTGTAGCATGTATTAGTACTTCATTCCTTTTCATTGCCAAATAGTATTTCATTGTGTGGATGTACCACACTTTGTCTCTTTACCAGTTGTTGGACATTTGGGCAAGTTTCCTTTTTACTGAATATACTCAGGGTCTTTAATTGGACAATATATATACAGGGTCTGACGAAAGTAAGGCCTGCTTGAGTATGGTTGGTAGGGTAATGATATGGGTGCAATAGTTTATAGTTTTAATTTGAACATTTCACCTAAAATGTCATATGGTGTGCTTGAGTATGATATTGTTACGTTACAGAATTACACGCTTATGATTTTATAATAAAAAATTCTGTAATAAAAAAGGGGAGCTCTTTGTACCAGACCCTGTACATTTTGGTTCTTGTGGAGCTTTGGAGCCCGGGTCTGTTTGCGTCTGGAAAGCTTGGTTCTGATTGAACATCTGAATGGTGTTTATCTCTGGAATTGTGAGTGATTTTTATTTTTCTCTTTTCTCCCTACTATGAGAATGCTTAACTTTTATTTTCAGGAAAAATTAAATAATGTTTTTTAAAAATAAGTCTAGGTCATGCATCGCAGTGTTAAGTATAGTCCCAGGAAGTTGAAATCAAAGTCTAATAGACGAGGAAAGTAGAAGTAAACATTGGCACATCACAGAGAGGGGGCCCAGGCTGGCCCCATGCTCCCACAGCGTGGTAAACTTCTTTTTTTGTAACCTATTACTTCCTTCCCATCTTCACACTGGTGTGCTTCGTGGGTGCTGGGACTGGCTCCTGAGTCCACAGTGCTTGGCACATAATAGGCCTTCAATGAGCAGTTGAAAGACTCTCAAAGATGTGGAACGTGTCTAGAAAATGATACTTGTCTGAAACATGCTGAAATGTAATGATGTTTATCTCTGAGTAGTGGAGTATAGGTACTTTCTACTTTATGAAATTTTTTCTATGGGCATGCACTCCGCTTATAATATTTTTAGATATTACTTTTAAGAAAAATTAAAGACTTCCTTCACTTGGCTCCTCTTTTTCTCCTCTATGACAAGGGAACCTTTTGAGATTCTTCATGCTTTGCCTGCTCTACTGGGAAAACCAGTTATTAATCAAAGGCCTTAGATTTATCAACTTTTAGGATTTCATGGTGGGAATTGGACCAAGTATTTTTCAAAGAAGTTCTCATCTGAACAAAATGTTTCTTGTAGTTAACAGAAAAGAAACAAAGCCTGTGCAGAATGATGTTTGAGTGAGCTCTTTTTAAATAGTTAGGAAAAAGAGTTGTTTCCTTGAAAGAAAAACAATGAAAAATCAAATCTGCTAGTGCCCTAATGAGATTCTCCCTTTCGTGCCCTCCCTTGGGTTCATTTTATAGTCTCGAGTTCCAAAAGAGTGAGCTGGCAGGGAGCTGGGATTGGAGGTGGCCTGGCATCTGTTGGAAGTGTGGTTATCCAGCTCTCCTGGGTACCTGTTACGGTCAAGGCAGGAGGAAACCTTCACAGCCAACGGACAGAGTTTATAGGAGGCGGGGCAAGCTGTGACCTCATGTTTTATGTAGGGTGTGACTGAGGCTCCACTGGGGTCATGAGAAGAGGTCTGCCCTGCCTGCGTGTGAGTTCCAACTCTTTCTCCTGCTAGGCCTGGTATCTTGGGCAAGTCACCTACGTGGCCCACACCTCTCTGGGTGCCTCCAGTCTGAATGTAAGGGCCACTGTGCAGCAGAATGGGTTCTTCCCTGACTGCGTGTGCCCCCAGGGACATCTCATATGTCTTCTCAAGGGCCAGTTTGTCTTCTTTCTTATGTGGAACGGCCCATTTTCTCTTGTGATCTGCTGGAACCAAAGTGACCAGCATTGCCTGGCGGAGCAGAGCCGTGTCAGGACTGCTGGGCAGCAGGTATGAGGGCCCCAACTCAGAGTCTGATTCGGAGGGTCTGGGTGATCCTCTGGGGCTTCTGAGGCTGGGTGTCTACAGACCAGTGGTGCCCCACCCTTCTGCATGTTGAAGTTACCTGGAAAGCTTTGGGCCTGAGTCCCATCTGAGAGATTGTACTGTAATTGGTCTGGGTTGTGGCTTCCTTGTATAGATTTTTAAAAGCTCCCAGGTGATTCTAGCATATATACTGAAACCTTTTGCCTCAAATACATCCCCTCCAATGAGGTACTTGTAGGAGGACCTTGGTTGTGGTTATAGGTAAATCCCAGGTGGCTCTCTGGGGCCCCTCCCTTCAGGGCAGTCTCTCCCCAGTGCAGTTAGTGTGAGGAGAGTGTCGGTTCAAGCTGTCCTCCCTGCTTTATTCCCTTCTTCAAGCCTCATTTTTCTCTCTGTGGAAGTGTTAGGGCGCACTTTGCAGGTGCCGGTGAGGTCAGATGTGGTAATGGTGTACGTTACCCCTGGGAGGGCCTGGCTTGCAACAAGGTGCTCCACCAGGTCCTTCTCTGCTGCCCCAGTATCTTCCAGTGCAGGACTGAGCACATTTTTCTGCACAAAGGATTGAGTTGTGAGTTAGGTTTTAGAGAACATGTGTGTGTTTTCTAATCTCAAAGCCTTTAGAAGTTAAGAAAGCAGGACTCGTGGGCCTAAAGTCTAATAGTATGAGGGGGTGAGCTAGGGGAGGGCAGAGCTAGGGTAGCTGAGGACGACTCCTGTGGTCTAGGGGTTGACATAGGGTGGGTCTGTCCTGGAGAGCAGTGTCCAGGGCGGGCCCGGAGCCTGCCACTGAAGGGGACGGTCCGTTTGTTTACCACTAACAGTGGGACCTTGGGGGTTTCCTGTGGAGGGATTTTTTGTGTACACATTGAAGTCTAGGACTGAACCCATTGTGCTGTTTACCTGAGCCCCTCTTTAGAAATTCTTCCCTGCTATTCCTGCCAGTGCTTGATTTCTGACTCTAACATGCATTTGTCTTTTGCCAGATCTGTGTTGAGGGCAATATTGCCAGCGGGAAGACGACATGCTTGGAGTTCTTCTCCCACACAGCAGACATTGAGGTACGGCCTCCGCAACAGGTTTGAAGGAGCCTGCGTAAGCTTGACAGAGTAATTTACGGGGGGTGTGGGTCAGCCCTGTCCAGTAGAAATGTAATGCGAGCCACAAATGCAGGCCACACATGGAATGTAAAATTTCTAATAGCATTGCTAAAAAACCCCAAAAGAACATTTTATTTAACATAATATACTCCAGGTATTATCATGTCAACAGGTCATCAATATAAAAATCTTCAATGAGGTATTCTATTCTGTTTTTCATAGTACGTCTTTGAAGTCTACATTGTGTTTTGTGTTTACAGCGTATCTCGATTTGGACTAGTTTTATTTCGACTTTGTAATAGCTCCGTGTGGCTCATGGCCGCTGTATTGGACAGTGCAGGTCCAGAGCTCCTCACAGCCTGCTTAGGGAGAGTTTACATGTGAAAGAAGTCAGCCCGCTGAGGATGGCTGCAGTGTTACGGTGCTATATACACAGCCAGTTAACATAACTTCTAGTGTATCTACAGCCCCGCCACCAAAATTCACCTCATAGATATTTAAGAATAATCTCTACACCAAGACCATCACCTGACCCTTTTGCTTTGTAAATTTTAGGGGTATAATGTTTTCCATTTATGGCCTTTTTTGTTACTGCACATCCTATAATTTCCATACCTTTAGAGCCATTTGCTTTCCCTCTTTCCTGTTTTTACTTGTATTAACATATATATGATTTGATAAAAATGGTTAGCACTGTTTAGCCCTTGTCTTGCTTGTGTTCATGTCCTGCCATGCAGAAAAGAATGAAACATCAGGACGGAGGCTGCCGTCCTCAGAGCGGCTAGTTCCAAGGTCAGCTCTGGGTTGGCCTGTGGCAGCTTAGATTCTGGGAGCTGCCCATTTCCTAACTAATAGGTGTGGCTCCCTGTGTTTGAACTGTGCAAACAGTATGGCTTCTTCTGGACACCTGATTCATTCCAAGGAGTCCGGAATTTTCCTCCGTGTGTCAGAGGCTGCCTGCGTGAGCGAGCCGCAGTGAAAGCCCTGAACCCCCAGGCTTCAGCGCAGCTTCCCTGGCAGACACCACTTCGCACATGTCGTCACAGCTCGCTGCTGGGGGAATCAAGCGTGCCTGTGTGACTCCCTTGGGAAAGGCCCCTTGGAAGCTTGTGCCTGGTGTCCTCCCCACTTCGCTCCATCACCTTTTTGCTTTGCCGATTTTGCTTTGTACCCTCGTACTGTAATAAACCTTAGCTCTGAGTACCATTATATACTGTACGCTCTTAGTCCTCCCAGTGAGTTGCCAAACCTAGGGAGGCGAAGGTCCTGGGGACTCCTGATACACCTGCCTGAGCGGTGTCACTCTGGTTGGCACTTTAGAAGTATAGTTGACCCTTGAACAACATGGGAATTAGGGGTGCTGACCCCATGCCGTCCAAAATTATGTATAACATTTCACAGCCCCAAAACTTGACCTTTGGCGTCTGTGAGGCATTGGTTCCAAGACCTTCCATGGATGCCAAACCTGCAAGATGCTCAATTCCCCTATATAAAATGGCATAGATCATGCATACAGTCAACCCTCCACATCCATAGACTTCCAACCACAGATTGAAAACACTATAGGTATTTATTGGGAAAAAAAAATCTGTGTATTAGTAGACCCACATAGTTCAAACCTGTGTTGTTCAAGGGTCCACTATACTTGTATTCTCACTGAAGACCTTGGAGCCAATGAACAACAAAAATAACAACAGAACTCACAGTTAACATCTAACGAGGATGTTACTGTATGCCAGGCACTGTGTTGAGGCTTCATTATATTATCTAACTGATCTCATCTTTATGAAAGTAGTCCGTATAAGATAGGTACTAGCCCTGGCTGGTGTGGCTCGGTGGATTGAACGCAGACCTGCGAACCAAAGGGTCGCCAGTTCAATTCCCAGTTTAAGGCACATGCCTGGATTGCAGGCCAGGTCCCCAGCAGGGAGCTTGTGAAATGCAACCACACATTGATGTTTTTCTCCCTTCCTTTCTCCCTCCCTTCCCCTCTCCAAAAATAAATAAATAAAATCTTAAAACAAAAAAAAAAGATAGGTGCTATTATTACCTCAGCTGCAGAGGAGGAAACTGAGACTCAGCGAGGTTAAATTACTTGGCTGCACTCACATGGCGAGTGGTGGAGCCAGATCCCAGTCCAGCTGTCTGGCTCCGGGGGCCATGCTCTTGTTTGGTTCTTCTAAGGTGTGAAGATGACCTTTGTTGGAGGAAAACCACGTAGCCTCCCAATCCCAGTTCAGTCTTTCTCACCTCCCCAACTAGGTTATCCTCCCTGGTGTAGGCTCTTCTCTCTTCTCTGCCCCTATTTTATATTAGTTCTCAGGTATGAGAATATATGTTGATTTCTGTGATTATCTGCTTCCTCCAGTTAGTTTAAAGTTCCACGAAGACAGGCCTGGGTGGTTTTGCTCTTGCTATTCTGGGTACGTACCATGGCATCTGGCACAGTGGGTGCTCAATAAATGCTTGTTGAGTGACAGCGTCCACAGATGGAGGGTCAAGGCCTGGTCTGAATGGTGCAGCATATGCCACTCAGGGGACAGGAGCGGAGTGCTGAAGACCCAGAAGAAGGAGAGGAGGGTTGGGAGAGGCAGTGAATGATTCACAGAGGAAGGGGTATTTGAACTGGATTTTGAAGGATGCATAGGAGTTTTCCATGTAATGAAAGTTGATGTGGAATGAATTGAGGTTGGCCTACTGGACAGAAGGAATAACATGAGCAAAGCACAGAAGTGTAAAAAGTTGGGAGAGGTTACGCTTCAAGGGTTTTGTTCATTGCTTTCCTTTGGTCTCATGACCTGTGGTGCCTGCTCACATGCACTTGAAGGCCCCCAGATGGATTAGGGTACTCTCAAAATCTTGGCCCCAGGACACCATTTAAATCCTTTCCAGTACGTACCTGCACAGCTGTGTGGGGAGTGTACTAAGGAAACAGGACTCTTAGGTGTCACTGTGCCCAGTGCAGAGATCAGGAAAGAATGGAGGCAGAGCAAGCTGCCGAGGTGATGGAAGAGTGCCAGGTAGAGAAGCTGGGCTTCAAGCCACAGCCCGAAGTGCCTGAATTAGCTTCTCCCTTGGCTTCTCTCCCCTCCCTGCCCAGCAGGACGCGGTGGCAGCAAGGGCTGGGCTGCAGCACTCAGAGGAGGGATGAGAGAACCTACCTTGCCTTGGGGAACTCCCACGGCAGCCAGAGAGATGGCCTGTGCATAGACTTGTATGGAGGAATGGATAGAATTCTTGTTGGGTCATTTCTGGAAATCACAGGAGGAAGCCATGTTTAGGTGGAATTGTCGCCTCACACAGAGGGTAGCTCAGCCGTTTTGGCTCATCCTGAGTGCCCAAATTTTGATCCTTTCTCCCCCTACCTCCCAAAACACTTAGATGCTTTCATAGAGCTCAGGGTGGAGGAACAGCAGCTCTTTGATGTTTTCTTTCCTTGCAGGTGTTCCCGGAGCCTGTGTCTAAATGGAGAAATGTCCGTGGCCATAATCCTCTTGTGAGTGTGTTGTTTCCTGTGTGAACCGCCAGCTTCCTCCTAAGTGCCTGGGGATGGTGGTGCTGGTGCCTGGGCCTGCCACCTTCCCAGGCATTTCCTCGCTCTTAGCTTGGCTGGAGGAGGAGAGGGAGGGGACAAATGGAAAATGGCAGCACATAGATGTTCCAAGGTCAAGGATCTTGGAGGCTTGCCTGCGCATGTACAGAGCCCAAGAACCTCCTGTCAGTGATCCCATATCTGATTTGGCTCACTGTTGTATGCTGGGACGTAGCACACTGCTGAGCACTTAGTAGGTGCTTGTTCAGTCATTCATTCAACCAATAATTTTTGCCTGCTTCTGCTTTCCTGGCCCTAATATTCCAGTGTGGGGAAGCAGAAGACAATTAAATGTATGATATAGCAGGTAGTGAGTGATTAGAGCTGTGAAGAAATCTAAAGCAGGTAAATAGATACTATTTTAATAAGGCAGAAACTCTCGGAGTCTTTGAATAAAGAATCCCAGAGACAAGAAAAGAATTTTCACCCCTATGCATGTGGGAGAGGATGGAATGCCAGTCTTTCTCCTTGAGCAAAACAGAAAAGCCTCAGAAACATTCTCATTCTCTAGGAAACAGGGAGGAGCCAGGGCTGGAGTATTGAGCAAGACTACTAGAGTTGCATATGTTAGGGGTTGGAGGTGGGGACATTTTACAGGACACAGTTCCAATCCCAGAAGTCTGAGTAGCCTTGATACAAAGAGCATTTCCAAGGACAGTTTTGTAATAAAAAATAGACTTAGATATTTTTACACAATTTTCCACTCCGGACAGAAGATTAAGATTTGTAGTTTTATGAAAGGTTTCAATTCACCATTATCTGAATTGGCTTTCTGATGCAGAAAGATGTTTGTTTCTGCAGCCATCAGACAAGAGGGAGTGTGTCTCATAAACTTTCTGAGATTTTTCTTTTACCCCGAGTTAGGAGCCTGCAGTTTTCAATGCAGAGATGGAGTTTCATTAGCACCAAGAAAAAAAATAAAAAATGTGGAAGAGAGCAGAGTAAGACCATCAGCAAGTGGAATCTGGAGCGTGAAATGTTTTATATCTCCTGGCGGTAGAGGGTGGTGGGGTGGGGCTTCTAGTTCAGACAGGATAGCTGGGGAAGATGTCTCTAATTAGGTGACATTTGAGCAGACAGCTAAACAAAGTGAGGGAGGGAGCAATGCACATACCTGGAGGAAGAGCATTGAGACAGAGGGCACAGCAGATGCAGAGGCCCTGAGGTGCTCGGGGATTTGGGGGACAGTGAGGAGGATTGTGTAGCCGGAAGTTCACTGAGCCAGAGGAAGAATGGTAGGGGACGAGAGAAGATGGAAGTGACCGCCTGGTGCTCTGTGGGCCTTGGTAAGGGCTTTGGATTTCATTTTGAGTGCAGTAGGCGTCACTGGAAGGTTATCAGCAGGGGATTGCCAAGAACTGATTTAGCTTTACTGGGCTTACTTTGGCTGCTGGATAGAGAATAGAATCCAGGGCTCAAGGAACATTTATTGAATGACTGAATGAATGTTCCCTGGCTCCTACTACAGCTGGTACTAGGCTGTCCTATAAGCGCTCCAGTGTCTGTCTCTGCCTACTCCATCTTGAGGGCTCTGTGACCATCCTGGATTTATGTCTGGCCCTAGTTCAGGCCCACATAGGTCTTATGAGATGGCTATCAATGACCAAAATGACCATGGTTCTATAGAAAGAGCACTTTAAAGTAAATCGCTGCGTTTTCTCTTCTGCAGGGTCTGATGTACAATGATGCCAGTCGATGGGGACTCACACTGCAGACGTACGTTCAGCTCACCATGCTGGAGCAGCACACTTGTCCTCAGGTACCTTTCAGATGCTTGGTTTCAACCTTCTTAACATTTTCTTCAAATGAGGGTCATGGGATTGCCAGGAAGGGAACCCTCACAAGGATGCCTCGCTGGGCCTTCGGCGCTGCTTAGCCCTCGCTATCTTGCGCCAAGGTCTCTGTTCCTGCAGCTCTCTGAGGACCCCCACCCACCAGCCCCAGCTAGTCAAGAAATTGCTATGATACCACCGTGACCCTAAGTCTTCATGACCCGACCATGAGTGGGCTCAACACCGTTTAACTCAGTTCTTCTCAAATTGTGGGCCCTGGACAAGGAGCGGCAGCAGCACCTGGGAATTTGTTAGAAATGCACATTTTCCGGCCCCATCCAGGACAAGCTGACTCAGAAATCCTGGAGATGAGGCCCAGCAATCTGTGTCTTATCAGGCTCTCCAGGTGATTTTAACGCATGCTTTATTTGTTCGCATGTTTGAGTCTCACTCTTTCACCTTCACAGGGGCTGGATGTTGATTCAGATTCTTGACAGAAAGAATCTGATTGGCTCAGCTTGGGTCAGGTGCCTAGCCCTTGGCCATTCAGGTTTTGGGAAGATCACAGAGCATTAACTGGCTGCTCTGGCCACTTCCATCAGTGGGGACGTGAATAGGGGCAGAGCCTCTTAGAAGAAAGGCTGGCTGAGGAGCTCCTGATTGGCACTTGCGGTTCAAAATTGTAAGTACAACCCAAGAGACTGGCTTTGGACGCTCTCCAAGAAGGAGATCCCTTACAGCCAGTTACACTGACACAGCCACTTGGCTGGTAGTTTAATCAAGGGTTGAACACTTACAACTATAGCTATCATTCCTCTACAAATCTGTGTCTTAAAAAATGGAAAAAAGATATGAGCAGAACCATATGAATTTCTATCTCCCCAAATGTCAGTTGAAATGATACAGGATAGAGGATTGGAGGTTGGCACCTTTTCCCTTTGCTCACCCTACCTTTCCTGAGCGGGCAGTCACTTGCAAACCTGAAATGTATCTATTATGTCTGAGCAATGGGACATACCATGATGGAGGCAGAGAGAAAGAGAGATGGAGAGATTTGGAAAGATGAGCAGAAAGAGAAGTGGATGGATGGGGAGCTAGCAAAAGATGGGCCGTGGAGAGTAATAAGTAAGGAGAGGATGGAAAAATAGAAGGGCAGATGGATGGACAGATGGACACCCAGGGGGATAGAGAGTCAGGAAATTCCTGGGTTATACATTTGAATCTGCGCCTGATTTGCTGGTGCAGGTCCCATGGGTGCTGTGGGTGCATGGGTACCATGCTGAGTGAGAACAGTGTTTCCCCACTTGGTGTCAAGGGTAAGGCCCCTCCTACTTCCCAGTGGAACACTGTGGACAAACAGAAAGGTCACCTGCGGAGGGCGTGAGCACGCTGCCACAGAGGGGTGATGTCACTGCTGTCCCCTTCCCTCCTGGGCAGAGTCGCCATAGGGCTGCAGTGATCCCTGCACAGCCCTGAGAGAAAGCGGCAAGGCTGGCAGGTCTTGCATCCTTGTGGGGTCCCAGAAGGCCAGACCCCGAGGCACTGATGGCATAGTCCCCGTAAAGCCATTTGAACCCCAGTCCTCTCCGGGCTCTACCATGGACGTTCAGATCCCTCTGCGTAAGCAGGGTCACCCTATTGAGATCTGTAGTAATCGCCGTCCTTAGCACTTGACACCGCTTTGCTGGACAGCACCTGGCAGTTTTTCTAGCACTTCCCCAAACCCACAATCCAGGTGAGGTTCGCCGCTCCTGCAGAAGAGGCGGCTGCTGCTGCTGAGCACCCAGCCCCCGCACTGCGGCACTGGCCACTGGCCACCGAGCTTCAGGGTGTGGTAGGTGTCCAGGCTGAAGGAGATCACAGCTGAGCCTCACGGCAGCCTCGGGTGAGGTTCTTGTGTTCAAGCACAGACCGTAGACAGGCCTTCAAACCTTCCCGACCCCCTCCTCTTTCCCTGCGTTAGTGAATCCTTTTTGTTTTCTTTTAGACATCACGTGTACGGTTGATGGAGCGGTCAATTCACAGCGCAAGATACATTTTTGTAGAAAACCTGTATAGAAGGTACCATAGCTTGCACAATTGATATTTTGCTACTTTTTTCAAAATGAAATTGGAACTTGTATATCCAAATGACAGATACGGGCACCTATTGAGTTATGTCGGTTATCTGTTGCTACACTCATGCTGTGTAACAACCACAAAACCTCAGCGGCAGATAGCTCTCTGCACTGATTCCTCCGTCATGTAGGTTGGTTGGCCAGGCGGCTCTGTGGTCCTTGGTTGGGCTCCACGATGTGTCTGGGGTTGGCCGTCTAGGGTGACAAGGGTGACGAGGTAGCTCAGTTCTCTTTCTCTTGCCTGTCATCCTTCTTCTGGGACCAGCAGGCTGACCTGGGCATTCACTTCTCAGGGTGATGGTGGGAGGCAGCAGCACCAGCGGAAACACAGGGTTGTTTCTTCAGGACCTCGGCTTCACATTCCCTAGCATCCTGTTGGCCGAAAGCCAACCCAGTCTGAGAGGTGGGAGGGCTCTGGTGGGCTACAGGCCAAAGTAGGAGGATAGAGGGAAACGAAGATTTGGAGGGACTAGACCAACCAATGTAGCACAGTGTGCATGATATTTGTTGTGGTTTCACTCAAAACAGTCTTTTGCCCTCATGGGAGCAGACTCTGTCTTACTGACATAGTTGGAGGGGATGTGGTGGCCCCCAGTGCTGAGGCCTGAAAGGCGTAGGGCCCTCCATTCCTGTGCTCACTTGGCTGCTAATTTTTAGGGTCTTGGGGAAATGGGCTACAGGCTGAGGCTTTGGCTTCTTCCATGCCCGTCCTTCTTGGTAGCTGTGCCTGGTCCCCTTCTCCTTGCCAGCCCCTGCATTACTGCTTTTTCCTCCTTTCAGCTTTGGGATGCTGCTGTCTCTCCCTTGCAGAGCTGGTTCTGATACCTGCCTTCCACTCCCTAGGTGCTGGCTCCCCATTCCTGCTCATTTGCAGCTGCCATTCTAAATGTCATCTCTCCTGACCCTCCCCAACCACCCTGTCTAGGTAGCGCAAGCCCCTTGTTATTCTTAATTGCTACTCTCTGTTGATTAAACAATATGAAATTCTTAATATTTGACCAGTTTGGCCTGCAAAAGTGGCAGTTTCGTGTGGATTAACTTAGTATATGTCTACTTGTTTAATTGTCTATTGAATGTCCCCCACCCCACTGGCCCATAAGCCCCTTGAGAACATGGACTGCGTCTGGTTTACGTGCCTAGCTGGGACCCAGCACAGAGCTGGCACCTGGCTGATATTTGTTAACTACTGTTTTGTTGGGTGATAAGACCTACGGCTGTTCTTTGGCCTCCAGCCTCTGGGCCAACCTCTTTTGTACCCTTTCCCTTGAGGATCCACAGAAAGGCTTCTCCCATGGGTCCTGAGCTTCCATGGAGCATGCACTTGAGCCTTGTGGCTCTAGGACAAAAGGCACTCCCCCCCTGCCCCCCCGCCCCCCGCAATCTGAGCGTTCTAGCCATGCTCTCGCTTCAGGGACAGCAACCAGGGCAAATCCTGACTGTAGCTTCGTCCTCTGACCTCACATTTCTCTTGAGGGCTCTGCCCGCCCAACAGGCAGTGTTCCTGGTGCAGGCATCCCCTCCTCCCCCGGCTGCCTGGGTTGCCAGCGGGGCTGAGCTGTCTGTCCGCTGCTCAGTTTCCGCAGCCGTTGCCCTCCTCTGCTCTCTGCTCATTCGTGCCCCTGCCAGAGGGCAGGCAGGCAGGAGACAGGATTTACTGCCGGATGAAAGCGTGGCCCCAGGAGCAGACCCTGGGCAGCAGGGTGCGAGTCCCTGGGACCCTCGTGAAGCTGGGTTGCCTCTGTCTTCTCGTCACAGTCAGCTTGGCGGGGTCTGTATGGCAGCTCATGGCTCTTTGTGAAGAGGGTGAGCTGGAATGGGTGACTAGGGGTCAAGGGGAGGGAGTGCGGTGTGGAGTTGGGGGGACCTGGGTTTCATCCTGGCTCTGGAATTTGCTCTCTGGGAGCTTGACAGTATCTCACAAAGAGCTCATCTTGTCTGTAATTCCTGTCATCCATCTCTGGAGGAGAGACGGAAGCAGTTGCCTGGTTTCGGTCCTGTGACCATTATATACAGGTCCTTGGTCCTCATGAAATTTGCCAGTTAAGCACCCCACCCCATAGGTTGCCCAGTGCCTGGTGCATTTCCCCAGGAGTCCCTTATCTTTGCTTATCACAGGGTCAGTTTTAGCTGATGTCCATGGGCTTCAGTTACGCACACTCAGTTCTTCATTACGATGCTTCTGATGGTGGATCTGTATTTCCTGATCTAAGTGGCCATGGTCCAGATCACATGGGCCTTGCCCTGGGCTTTTTTGTGGGTAGTGTAGGGAAAGGCTGTAGCTTTTAATCTTCTTCTTCTCCTTCTTCTCCTTCTTCTCCTCCCCCTCCTCCTCCTCCTCCTCTTCCTCTTCTTACTCCTCCTTCTTCTAAGATTTTATTATTTATTTTTAGAGAGAGGAGAAGGGAGGGAGAAAGAGAGAGAGACATCAATGTGTGGTTGCCTCTTAAGTCCCCCCTACTGGGGACCTGGCCCAAACCCAGGCATGTGCCCTGACTGGGAATTGGAATGGGAGACCCTTTGGTTTGCAGGCCGACGCTCAGTCCACTGAGCCACTCCAGCCTGGGCTGATGTTCTTTCCTGTCCTGGTAATTCCATGCGTATCTGTTCTCCCCCGACCCTCACAGAAAGCCTGGCATCAGTGGTTAGGATTTGCATGGGATAAAGAACCGTGGAAGAAATGTACATCTCACAAGCTCTTGCACCCTTGGCTTGGAATCTGGGGCAGGGGGGCGGGGTGGGCCCTGGATGGAAGAGAGGAAGGCAGGCCTGGCCTTGCTGTCTACAGCTGTAGACTGGGGTGCCCAGGAAAGCCCACATACTGGAAATCTGCCTCCCCCAAAGCTGAATTTCTTGAAGGGCGGTCTTGCCTTTGGAGTCTTGAGCGAGCGAGCAGTTCTCCTTGGGAGAGAGACTGCCTCTTCCAGCCCCTTGCCCCTTCTCAGCCAGTCTAGGGTGGGCAGAATGTAAGTGCAGTTAGGCCACCAGGGGTCTCTGAGGGTTATGTGACTTCTTGAAGAAGAAGCTTTTGGTCACACAGTCTCCTTAACGGGAACTTCTGAGATGTGGGCACTGTGCCAAAATGAAAAACTGGAGGTGGCGATAAAGAGTCACAGCTAAAGAGGCCATGCAGGCAAATGTGTGGCCCTATCCCCATGGGCTGAATAATTTAACACAAAGGTTTTGCAAGATTGCCAGGTTAGTGTGTTCTAAGAGCGGAAGTAAGGGAATTGCAGGGGCCCATCTGGGAAAGTGAGCCGTTGACTCACCTGGGGCTGACAGTGGGGAGCATTGATTAAGACCCTGAATTTAGAACAACAGGGAGGTCCTCCTACCTCGCTGGCTGGCCCTGGGCCTTGGGCTCCTCCCGCTCTGTAGTCCAGATGGGGGACTTACGGTCTGGGTCACGAGTCTGAAAGCTGTGGCTTTTCCTGTGCTGAGGCCTGAGACACTGGATGTGATCTGGAACAGCCTCCTCAGCTGACAGACCAGGGAGGGCAAGTGATGCATGGAAGAACCTATGGGTTTGGGGGCCACGGGGAGCCGGGCTTGAATTCCTGCTCAGACAGAGTTGGGCTCTTCTGGGCTCAGCTGTCCTCATTTATGAATTGAGTCACAAGGTCTTAATGAAGACAAAAGAAAAGAATGTATAAGAGGTGGCTGGCATTCGAGTGTGAGATTTCCATTCCAACTTGTACTGTGTAAGCTGGGGGCTCTCTGGGCCTCAGGGTGAAGGTGGCAGCAAACTGCCAAACAGCCAGCAGGATTTGCGTGGACCCAAAACCTTGAGATTGCCACCTTGCTGTAAGGGAAGGCCCCATGAGGCCCTCTCAGTTCACCGTTGGTGAGTTGGGCCTTTGTGTTTTCTGTGGAGAAGCGTGCTGTCCTCTGTGTGTTCTGTGGAGAGAAAAGCAGTGACCTGTGGGGTGCCGGGCATGTCATTCGGGAGGCAGGCGGAGGAGGAGCCGGGCAGAGGTCCTGGGAGGAAAACTGCCAAAACGGATCAAACAGCACCCGCTGCCTGGCATCCCTCGGAATCACGGAAACCGGGCCTCTGTTTCCTTACTCAGCTCAGCCTGGATGCCCCGCCGCACCCGGCTCGGGCGCACCCACCCCTCTTGCAATCGCTCTCACCAAACCCCTGGTTCGGAGAGCATCCAGGACGGGCGGAGGTGTTAAAAGGGGGGATTCCACTCCTGGGCCTTGGGGGTCGCCCGGCTGTTGATGGGGTGGTTTCTTCCAGCTGCTGCCATTCGTTCTCTCTTTCCTGTTTGTTTCCTCTCGGGGCAGAGGAAGTCCGCAGGAGCCGGGCGGCGCCAGGCTTCCCTTTTCACTCTTGGCTCTGTCTTCCTCCCCGTTTTCTTCTTTCTTTCTTTCCCTTCTTTTTCCGTGAACTTTAAATATGTAGCAGTCTCCCCCTGCCCCACACTCTTGATTTGAGAACTAATATGTTGTTAAATTTTGGAAAACACAAAAATGTATAAAGAAAAAAATGTAAGTCTTCCGTCGTCCTATGGGTCATAAAAAAGCAGTTAACATTTTGGTGTTTTTCTTTGCAGTCTTTTTTCAAAATGTGTGGATGAATACTCTTGAAAATTTGTCTGGGTCATACTATATGCACAGTTTTGCATCCTGTGGTTTCATTGAATTATGAGCATTTCATTATGAGCATTTACATGTCATCAAATATTATTTTTACAACACCACCTTTCAGTTGCTACATGGTTTTCTCTTATATAGTTGGTACCAATGTTTCGCTTTTCTTTAAACAGTGCCACATAGGCATTCATGATTATTTCCACAAAGTACATTTCTAGAGGTGAAATTGGTTTGCCTCGCCACCTCCTGAGCACTGTCCCTGTTTCTCAGGGGCCAGGCCTCAGAGCCCCTTTCTCTCCTGGGCGTTCAGGTCGCGTCGGGCAGTGCCGTGGCACTTGCCGCATCGCGCCATAGCCCCTCCCCAGGCAGCGGGAAGTTGGAGGTGTTCAAGGGCTTTGTTTAAGGACCCTGTCGTGTGGATCACGCTGTGGGGCCCTTGGCAGTGCCCTTTCAACAAAAGCCATTCCCAGTTACTTTTGGGGAATGACGCATCCCAGAAACTTCCTCGTGGGGAAACAGAACCCTGACACCTGTCCTTGCAGTGGGAAGATGCCTGAAGTGGACTACGTGGTTCTGTCGGAATGGTTTGACTGGATCGTGAGGAACCTCGATGTGTCCGTGGATTTGATAGGTGAGATGGCCCCTCCTGACCTCCGTCCCGGGCTTCCCTCCCCTGGGCCCAGTGAGCATGAGCTTATGCAGGTAACCGACCATCAGGGGCGGGTGGCAGGGCCCTAACCATTGGGGAGTCTCTCTGCATGTCAGTTCAGCCTTTTCCCCCAGGGCAGACAGAATCTGGGGGCTCCTGGTCCCTCCTAGAGAAATACCCTGTCCTTTGTTCCTCAGGCTCTTCTCCCTGGGTTCATTGTGATTTGGTGGGGTTTCTAGCTTGTAAGGGAGGGAGGAGATGATAAAACCTAGACATTAACTGAGACCCTCTGGGTGCTGGGCCCTGTGCTAAGTAAGCCCTGTCTGTGTTTGGAACCTTATTCAGCCTCCCGGTGATCCCGTGAGGCTCGTGATGTGGAAAGGGCACGAAAGGCAGGATGAGGGTTAAGGTGCCTGTCAGGTCACAGCTCGGTCAGTGGTCGAGCTGTGAGCCGACCCCGGTGTGTCTCTCCTGCTCGGAGATGCCAGCAGAGGTTCCTCGCCATGGCTCGCCCACATGCCTGCCTTCCTCCTCTCCTTGGCTTTCACTTTCAAGTTGTGAACAGTCATTATAGCCACTTCTTTTTTTAAATCTCAGTTTATCTCCGGACCACTCCTGAGACCTGTTACCAGAGGTTAAAGCAGAGATGCAGGGAAGAGGAGAAGGTCATTCCATTGGTAAGCTCCGCCTTTAACCTGGTTAGAGATGAACTGGAAGCCACCATTGTCCCATCCTGGCCTGAGCCACTGTGAGATCACTGCACTGTTGTCACAGAGAGAAGCAGGAACTGATTGTATCAGAGGGCGAACTCTGACTTCCTCTGTGGCTGGAGACCCCGTGCCGTGTTCAGATCTGCTTCACTTCCTGTGTCCCAGACTCAGCCGTCGGCCCCTGGCCCCTGGCCCCTGGCCCCACCCAGGAATCACCAGTGTTGTACGGTCCACATCCTGAAGAGAGCTCGCCTACATGCCCTCTGGATCCATTCTAGAATGTGTCCTCTTGCTCGCTGCTGCATCCCCCGCCTTCAGCGCAGTGCCTGGCTCGGAAGCGACGCTCACTGGTGTTTGCTCACTGCTTCACTCTTCTGGGTCTGGCTCACAGCCACGCTGGCTCTCGTTGGGATGGTTGCAACAGGCTTGGGCTGCACTCCTTGCCCTCGTCCCTCACCCCCCACATCTGCCTCCAAAACCTGCCTCTCCACTGCCGCTTGGGTGATGTGTCCAATACGGAACACATTCATGCAGTTTCCCAGCCCCAAACCCTTTCGCGCCCCATCCTGGTCCAGAAAAAAGTCCTCATTTTGTAGCATGCCATACGAGGTCCCACCTGATGGCTTTGTCTCTCTCCACTCTCTGCCTTTTACACTGTGGCCATGAAGAACTAGTTGTGGCTCTACACATTCATTCACACGCTAGCTCACTCACCATGGAATTATACAAATGTGCTTTTTAAAAATTTTAAAAAATTTTTTTAATATATAATCTTTATTATATATTTTTCTATTACCAGTTGGTACCCTTATACCCTTTTGCCCCCAGCAGTCACCACCCTGCTATCCATGTCCTTGAGTCCTTTTCTTTTTCAATTGATATCCCACCCCCTAACCTCCCCGCCCCACTTCTCCCCTCCCCCGCCACTATCTGTCATCTGCTCTCCATCTATGAGTCTGTGTCTGTTCTGCTTCTTAGTTCAGTTTGTTCATTAGATTCCACATACGAGTGAAATCATATGGTAATTGTCTTTCTCTGACTGGCTTATTTCACTTAGCATAATGTTCTCCAGGTCCATCCATACTCCTGCAAAGGGTAAAATTTTCTTCTTTTTAATGGCCGAGTAGAATTTCATTGTGTAAATGTCCCACAGTTGTTTTGTCCACTCATCTACAGATGGACACTTGCGCTGCTTCCATATCTTGGCGATTGTAAATAATGCTGCATTGAACACAGGGGTGCTTTTGTTCTTCCGAATTAGAGTTTGGGGTTCCTTCAGATATATTGCCAGAAGTGGGATTGCTGGGTCAAAAGGAAAATCCTCTTTTGATTTTTTGAGGCATCTCCATACTGCTTTCCACAGTGGCTGCACCAGTCTGCATTTTCACCAACAATGCAAAAGGGTTCCCCTTTCTCCATATTCTTGCCAGCACTTGTTTTTGATTTATTGATGATAACCATTCTGACAGGTGTGAGATGGTATCTTATTGTGCTTTTTATTTGCATTTCTCTGATGATTAGTGACATGGAGCATCTTTTCATATATCTATTGGCCTTCTGTCAGATGTACTTTTGCATAGTGGGTTTTTTGCTTTTCACGTGCAGCTTGGATGTCACCTCCTCCAGGAAGCCTTCCCTGACCTTCCCTCCATTGTTCCCCCCACCCCCCCACCCCCCGCCAGCCACTGGCCTTACTCTGATCACAGTCCTTAGGACCAGCATATTTACATGTTTGTTCCCCATCCTTCAGGAAATTCTGAGCATTTTATGATTAGATCTTATTTCCTCTGATCCCTAGCATATGTCCTAGGGCCGGGCACCTTATAAGTTTCTCAGTTAATGCTGAACTGAATGCCCCATGAGAGACGCTATCACTGGAAGTATACAGAGGCTGGGCAAGTGTCTACTGGAAGGTCATGGGGGTCTGAGCCCAGGATGGGCTAGACTGGGGGCCCTGAGGCCTGTCCAGCTCCCAAGACCTGTCCAGTCTCGTTTGCCTGGGCACCAGCAAGGTAGATTCTAGCCGAGAAAGCCCAGGCCTTGCTCTGGGCAGCTCCTTTGAAATCCAGAGACAGGAGTGGTCAGAGAAAGGCTGCAGTGGAGCAGGGATGGACCATGCTGTGATGGCGCAGAGCTGCTCTGGGAGATGGCCCAGATGTTCTAAAGGAATGCCAAGCCTGGAGTTCACCCCAAGCCATTATCCACGCCATCGTCTTAACAGTTTTGACAAGGCCTACAGGCCAGATCTGTCTTGTTGCTAAGAGAGAACGCAGTGGTGGATGAAAAAGTGGTGCCATGGTTCCCCCGAGAGCTTCTGGGCTGGGAGGAAATTGCTACTTGAGGAGGAAGTATTGGTAGCGGCCAGGAGTACGTTGGCCTGCACCTGGGAGAGCGTATCCCATCCAGTCCTTCCTGGGCCAGAGGCGTGGATGGCTTAGGGGCATGTCTGGGCCTCTTCACTTGTGGGTTCCACCCTGTTGGGCTCCCTGAAGTTGGTCTTTATGGTCTAGAGGATCCATAGGTTACAAGTTGTCTGGCAGGAGGGGGGCTCTTAGGCCAGTGAGGGTGACGTTCTTCTTGGTGGGAGGGAGAGGCTCAGCTGCCCAGGGCTGGGAGGCCCGGCCATGGCGTCGCCAGGGATGCCCTTCCCCAAGGGAACTGGTGCCCTGCTGCTAGAAGAGTGGCAGCAAATGAGAGAAGCCAGGCAAGAAGGGGCGTGGGGAGCAGAACTGCCCTGGAGGGATGGGATGGGAGGGGCTGCTGTGGTGACGCTTGGACTGTCGCGATGCCCGATGCCCAGGCTGCTGTCGGAGTGAGCAGGCGCATGTATCCCTGTCCGCCTGAGCCAGGTTGGCTGTCGTGGGCTTCTTTGTCCAAGCCACTACCCCGTGATCATTGACATTCACCCTACCTGCCTGCGACCCTGCGTGGCAGAGGTGCGCTCGGCTCTCCTCCGTGTTTGAGCAGCCTGTGTTTGTGTGTTTCCTGGCAGGAATACCTGAATGCGATTCACCACCTGTATGAGGAATGGCTCATCAAGGGGGGCCTGTTCCCTGTAACGGCCCCTGTTCTGGTAAGTCCTTCTGACAGGGCAGGAGACTTTCCTAGAAGGAGGAGTAACCAGGGAATGTTGGCCACTCTGCAGTCTGGGCTAGGGCCGAGTCCTTCAGAGCTCGAGGATGTGGAAGAAGGAAGCAGGGAGGGTGGAAAGGTCTCTTCCTCTCTCACAATTCCCATCCTGGACTAAATCTCAGAGTGACTGGGACAGGCCTGAGAGGTCATTTGTCTCAGTGTCATTATACCAGTGACCACAGTGGCATCTCACTTATCCAGCACCATCAGCAAAGGGATGTTCTAGGTGGCTGAAGCCTCTAGACCTGGGTTTTGGTTTTAACCTTTGGGGATGGTGGTCTTTCTGACGCGACAGTCCCTTCTGCAGTATATGGCCGGCTCAGAGCCTGATTGCACCTTTTCTTGGTGACTCAGGGCATCTGAAGGAACATCATTTGCTGTTCTGGGCTGTCACGCAGTGATGCCTTTAGGAGGTATTGAAGTGTGTAGGACTCTTTGCCTCATACTACTAATATCTTCTGAGTTCCTGTTTTTGCTTTTTACGGTAACCCTTCTTTCTCTGGGAGACACTCGCCATTTCTAACTCTATTGACGTATCTTCCGCATCTGTGATTAAAATCCACTATAGTAGATTTTTTCAAGTACAGTCTATTTTTCCCCTCATTATAGAAAATTAGATGGTATAAAATGATGAGAAAAAATCATTTATGAGCTTGCTTGCAGGGACAACCATAGTGGAGTCTTAAGTGCAGATATAGCTGAGAATGTGGACAGACCTAGAAGTGGGTGCTATTTGGCTTTAACCTTCCCCTGTTAGCCCCCTCCTGTCTGCCTCCTACTCTCTCGTCATAAGGGAGGATGATGTTGGAGTTAAGTGCAGCCCTGTGACCGTGCGTTTAATTTCCAGGTGTTCGAGGCTGACCACAACATGCAGAAAATGTTAGAACTCTTTGAACAAAACCGGGACCGAATATTAACTCCAGGGAATTGGAAATATGGTCCATAGGATGGGAAAGATCATGCCGGAAAAAATGCCCACTGCTGCCAAGTTAGCGCTTATGAGTAACGTGGAAAATCTCCTCTTGGGAGGACTTTATATTTAGCCATACTTGTTTTCCTAATGGTCTTTTCTCCTTTGCCAGTGTTTTTGTCCTGGGTTTCTGGCCTAAGAGGGTACATGACAAATGGGACCAATGAGCTTATCATGCCCTTTAATAGTGTTTGCTGCCTTGCATTCCCCTGGCACCTCTCGTGGTGGCTGCCCATTGCTGGGTCCCTCTAATTAAGCCCTTAGGCAAGGCCAGCTGACTTCATGCTGGATTCATGGTCTCTAATGCTTCAGACCACACAGGAGGGCGAAGTAGTGGCCTTACATCCCAGGGTTGGGAGTCGAAGCTCAGAGAGGCTAAGAGACTCCCTAAGGTCACACAGACAGGAAGTTGGCATCATCCAGATGGACTCCTAGCAATTCCAAAAATGTTCTCTTGCCCCCTCATCCTGAAAGCCCTGTCTTCCCCAGCTGGAGACCTTTGCTTCTGCATGGGGGGAGCCAGGAGTTCATGGAGCACATGTTATCATGAAGGGCAGTTATTAACACTGCTGCGAGCCCAGGAAGGAGGAAAGCAGACACGGGGCCTAGTTCTTAGAGCAGAGGGGGGCATTCCCTGGAGACCAAAGGACTGGCTACGAGGAGCGTGGCGGGGGTTGGCACCCCTGAATTGCTGGACAGGGCAAGCCAGGCCAACCACCTTCCAGATCTGGGGTGTACTGACTTTATGCGCTGCAGAACCCTGTCTCAGAATTGAGCCACGCCAATTCTGAGTAAGCTCAGAAGTGAGTAAGCTCATGCCCCTTGGCCTTGTGCCGGATCTGTTGGCGTGGCGTCACCAGATCTGGCTTCAGCACTGTGGTGTCTCGGGCCCCCCCTCCCCCTCCCTTCTGTCCTCCCAACTCATCACCCTCAGCATCTGCCCCACTTGGTTCTTCCATGTCCTTAGCTCGGCCCGCCTCCCTCCCATGCTGGGCCGAGTCCTGTGAGGGCAGAGACCGTCAGTCCAACGCATCCCCACAGCGTAGCGCTCGGGAGGCCCTCACTAGATGTGGACCCTGGTAAATGATGTCCCCCAGCTTCTTGTTCCCTTTCCGTTTCTCTTCCTGCCCCTTTCAGTTCCACCTGAGCCTCTCACCTAGATGAGAATAGCCAGTCAGAGACCCTTCCTGGGACTCCCACAGACTCTCACCTTTAGATTTTGGGAAGGAGGTATTTATAACTCTGAGAGCAGGCTGAAGATGTGTCTGAGACCAGTCTACCCCTGGGTGCTTTTGAATCTGCACCTCTTTCTCCCAGAGCCCTGGGGCCTAAGGCAGGGGCTCATTTCAAATGCTCACACATCTGAGGAATGAGTAAGCTCCTCCCCCTTGGCCTTGGCCACCCTAAAGAGTTATACATAGTAAAATAATTGACGAGCTCTTGAAAATCTCAGCCCTCCATTGCTGAGAAGCCAATAATACCTCCTGGGGCGGTGGGTTACTCTCTGAAGGCCCCAGGGTTGCCTGCCCATGGCTCTCGCTTTTTACTAACAACCCCCTACCCCGACCCCCAGCTCCCCTGAAGCCCAAATGAACTCTGTGTCTCTCTAGTTTACGTAAGATGGTGAACTTGACAAAAGCGGCATTAAACAGAAGCTGAGAGAAAGCCAGTCTTGTGGAATCCAGAATGGGTATCAGCATTTACTGCTGCCTTCTTGAGTTTCTGTGTTTCTTGGCTTTTCCATCTTCAAGACCAGGATCTGTGGAACACAGATGTCCTGGGAGATGATAATAGGTGTTTTGAGAAAAGAGGGTTTTGTGATTCAGGATATTTAGGAAAGACCACCTGGGAACTCCTTCTGAGGTGTGCAGGATACCTTGTTCTTTAACACAAGAAGTCCTCTGACAAATACATCTTTTAATCTTTGTTTAAGCCAGGGACTCTCAAACACACTTGACACTAGAACCCCTCATTTGAGGAGTGTCCCTTAACAGTCCCTAGAACGGCTCGTGTTCCTTGGAAAACACGTTGGGAAGCCCCATGTTGGGGACCTGGCTGCTGCTGACTCCTGGCGTCTGGGCCTTGGGGATTCTCTAGCTCAGGGCTCTCCAACGTCAGAGCTGCCGAGCCCTCTGGAGGGCGTGTTAGAGCGCAGATGGCGGGGGGGCCTATCCCCAGAGTTGCCAATTCAGCAGGTCTGGGCGGGCCCGAGAATTTGTTCTGACAGCGTCCCAGGTGGTGATGAAGTTGCTGGTGCAGGGAGCACCCTTTGAGAATGACCTGTCTAGATTTAGGTTTTCTAGACTTGCACACCCAGGAGTTCAAAGAAACCTTGTCACGCTGTTGAACCTCTTGTGAGCGTTGGTTATCTCATTTGTCCAGTGGGTGCAGTGTTCACTTCTCAGGGCTGGGAGGACGACTGACCCAGCAGATGGAGGGGCCCAGAGTGCAGGGGGTGGGGTGGGGGGTGGTGCGCAGCAGGTGTTGGTTCTGCTGATGTGCCTGGGAAAGTGGGCCACAATGCAGTTAGTGGCTCAGTAATGGCTGTAACCGTGGCAACCAGCGCTTCCCGTCAGAGCGGCATGGATGCAGACTCACACCAGTTAATCTGGAGACCATTGTGACCGGTCTGTTTAGTAGGGACAGGTCACAGGCCTGGCTGAGGCTGTCCCTCAGGACTGTACCTCTGCCAAGTGCCTCATGGTCGTTCTAGAACATCTGAGCATGGGACAAGTAATTGGCTTTTTTTAAAAAAAAAAGTGTCTCCTTTTCTCAGGGGACTCTGGAGCTGCACCTGCCATTCTGTGGCACGACAGGGAGAGAGACAGCTGCCTCTCAGACTGTGGGAACTGACACCTCCTCCTGCACCAGCAAAGCCCTGGAGTTTCTTACACACTAAGCTGATGGTTTTCTAGTCCGTTGTCTCATTTCTTGGCAGACTTCCTCCATGGGCCCAGGTGACCTGTCACCCACCTGTTTCCTGGCGCACAGCCCAGATTTACCTAGTAGCCAAGGAGGCATAGATCTTGGCAGGTCCAGGCTCACCTTTGGAAAAGCCCAGAAAAATGAGCAGGGACCAATTGCTAAGTTTTAAATGAATATTAACCTTTTGGGATCCACTTAGTTTTGTGGGTAGGACTTGGGCTCTGGGCTCAGAACATGGGCTGTGATCCCAGTTTCCCTGGTTATTGTCTGTAAGGGCAGGTCACCTCATGTCTGTGGTCCTGTTTCTTCCTTCCCTGGATGCTGGGGTTCTGCTTTTTTCCCCTCACAGGGGAGGGTCACAGACTAGGAAGAGGCGGGTCTGGAGCAGTGCCTGGCTACTTCTTCAAAATCCTTCCACCTCTCTGTACTTGGCGGAAGAGGCGACCAGACTTTCTAGTACTTTCACTGGCAGAGTTCCTGGAGGGGGAAGCTGTTGGTGGGCTGCCCCAAACCAGAGTTGGGGAGATCCTGCATTTTCTTTTTAAAAACATGCTTCTCCTTCAGGGCTCTGGGGGAAATACTGTCTCAGCATCCTCGCCAGCCATTTATTTACTCAGCCATTTACTCAGGAGTCCCCAGACAATCTGTAAGCAGGCCTCTAGTCTCTGCCTGCCTTTTGACAGCCCTTCCTATGCATCAACCCTGTGCCAGGCCCTGTACTGGGTGCCAGGCCGACACTGGTGAACAGGACAGACAAAGACCATCCATTCCTGAAACATTAGCTCATTATAGCTGCTTCCACCCTGAAATACCCTCAGGAAAACCCACATGAGCCAGGAGGGGACCAGCAGCCTCACTCCAATACAGTAATGTACTCCAAAGGATCAATGATAAAAGCAACACGAACAATAAGATTTCAGTGGAAAGTAGCAGGATATAAAATTAACATATACAATCAACAGAGGTTATAATGGCAGCAAAAATCCCATGTACAATGTTAACAAAGAAGATTAAATTATTTGGAATAAATTTAACAAGAAATGTGGAAAACTATACAAGAAAAAGTTAAAGAAACTGCATAAGACTTGAACATCCCATTCTTGGGTAGGAGGACTCAGCATTATAAAGATGTCAGTTTCCCTAAGTTAATTTATACATTCAGTGCGATCCGAATGGAGATTTCACAGGCTATTTTCTAGAGTTAGTCACATGTGAACAAAGTTCATGTAGAAAAACAAACCTGCAGCAATTATCAGGAAACTACTGAGAAAGAAAAACGATGGTGGAGGACTAGGGTTACCAGATACTGAAACACACCGTGAAGCCTCTGTAACCGAAGCAGTGTGGTCCTGGTGCACGAGGACACAACAGACCAGCGAGACGGACTAGAAAGCCCGAAACAGACCTGTGGGAGTAAGTACCTGTGGAAACAGTGTCTGATGAAGGTGTCATCTCAAATCATGGGGTTGAAGATAGACTTTTTAGTAAACAACACGGAGAAGACTGATAACCATTTGCGAAAAGATAAAAAAAAAAAAAGATCCATATTTTATACCCTACCTAAGAATCCCAGGTTAGGGATCTAAATGTAAAAATGGAAAGCATACAAGTACTCGAAGAAAACATGGATGAATTGTTTGTTTAAAACCTGATGTAGAGAAAGTTTTCTGCCTATGATTCAAAATCCAGGGGCATTAAGAAATGAATAAATTTGACTAAAAATTTTAAAACTTGTGTGAGAAAAACGCTATAAACAAAGATAATCAACAAACTTGAAGGATAATCACAACGTATATCACAAAGGGCTAATATCCCTAAATAGCCATGAAGATTATTTTAAAAATGAAGGACAAAGGATCAAAAAGCTAATAGGAAAACGAGAAAAAGTAATGAACAATTTCCAAAAAAAGTTATAAAAATGACCCTTAAACATATTAAAAATACTTAATTCACTTAATTAGAGAAATGCAAATACTACGGTCTGAATATTTGTGTCTCCCCCTCCCTCCAATTCATGTGTTGGAAACCTAACGCACAAGGTGAAGATATCAGGAGGAGGCCCTTTGGAAGGTGATTAAGTCATAAGGGGGGAGCCCTCACGAATGGGATTAGTGCTCCTCTAAAAGAGACGTGAGGACGTGGCAAGAAGTGAGCAGGCTGCAGCCTGGAAGAAGGCCCTCGCCAGAGCCCGGCCGTGCAGGCGCCATGGTCTTGGACGTCCAGCCTCCAGAACTGAGAAATAAATTTCTGTTGTTTATAAACTACCCAGTGTGTGGTATTCTGTTGTAGCAGCCTGGACAGATAAAAGACAGCAAATTAAAACTGAGATACCATTTCTTACCTACCAGCCTGTTAAAAACAACAAACCTCCCCACAAAAACCCAGCGACCAAAATAATCACATTCTGTTGCTGAGGCTCTGGGGAAACAAGCACTTTCATAAATTGCTTGGGGGAAGGGACTTGCAAATTTGTACAACCCTTCTGGAGAGAAATTTGGTAACAAGCAGCATTAGGATCCAGCAATCCCTCTTCTAGGATCTAATATATACATACTTTCTACAGTGTGGAAATATACATGCACAAGGTTATTGCAGCGTTGTTTGTTAAGTGCAAAATATTGGAAACAACTGAAAGTCCTTTACATAAGAGTAGTTAAATGAGCTACAATACAGCCACACAATGGAGTATGCAGCTGTACAAAGAATGAGGAAGATCTCTGTAAACCTATACAATTTCCAGGACACACTACTGAGTGAAAAAAAGCAATGCCTAAATGAACATCTATTGCATGCTTCCCTTTGTATCAGAAAAAAAGGGGCATAAGGAAATACACAGATGCAAAGGAAGTGCTGGAAGGATAACCCAGAAACTCAGGAGAATGGTGGGGGAAAGGCTGGGAGCAGGGAAGAACAGGCTGCAGGGCTGAACAGAGAACGGCACTTTTGTGAATGTATCTTTTGTGTAACGTCAACTCAGAACCATAGTAACAGTTTCACATTACCCCTCCCCCCTAAATAGACAATTAAGATCACTAGGACGTAGGAGGAACAGAAAATGGAATACAGACACGGTACAGATGTACTCAGCAGTACTGGAAGTGAAGAGCAACTGCACTGGGTGAGGAAGAACAATACTATGGTTACTTAAGATGTTAGTTTTAGGGGAAGCAGGGTAAGAAATAAAAAGAATTGTTGCTATTTTGCAATTTTTCTTTAAGTCTAAAATTAGTTAAAATAACTCCACAAGAAAAGCAGAACACAACACTGAGTATTATAGTCCCCAATTTTTAATATATGTACATGTGGGAAAAAAAGGTCGAAAGGAATTGCACCAATGCCATAACATTGGGTGTCTCCAAACGGTGGAAGTTACGGGAATTTTTGCTTTTGTTGTCATTTGTATTTTCTAAGTTTTCTACTCATTTGATGCATATATTTGATGGATCCTTGGAAACAGTGGTGAACAAGACAAGTTATCTCATGGAGCTTGTCTTTTAGCGGGGGAAATGGAAAATGAATAAATAGCTTTAAAGTAATTTTGTGCAGAAAATTAAGCTGATGTGGTGGGGAGATTGGTTGTCAGGGAAGGTTTCTCTAAGAAGGTGACATTTAAAATGAGATGTGAGTGACAAGAAGGAGAAGCTGGGGCTGTGGTGTGGAGTAGGGAGGGGGCAGAGGGAGCTTTCTGCAGAGGCTGGAGGGCGGGGGTGGGCTGAGCTTGTCTAAGAACCTGGAGGAAGCCAGTATGGCTTGGCTGCGGTGGGCTGGGGGACAGGGGGCATGGATGAGGTCAGAAGGGTAGCGAGGGGCTGAGCCTGGGGCCTGGTGTGGCCTTGGGAGCCCCTGGAAGGAACTGAACACAGGCCATGATGAAACAGGTTTTAACAGGCCCTCCGGCAGCAGGTTAGGCTGATGGGGGAGTGAGGGCGGACGCTGCGACATGGGAGGGGCTGGCATCCTCCTGGGACCTGAGAGACTGCGGCAGCTCAGACAAGTGACACCGGCCACGGGAAGGAGGAACGTGGTCATATTCGAACTCTGTTGTGACCATGGTGGGCTGGATGAGGGATGAGAGAGAGAAGGCAAGGATGATTTATTTCTACAGCAGCCTTCAGTTTTTGAGAAGGCGGTGCGGTCTTTTACCTCGGTGGGAACACTGGGGGAGCATGCTTTGGGGGGAGAGCAAAAATTTTGCTTTGGCTTGGGATGAGCATGCTTACTGTGTTAATAATCAGAAAAGAATGAATAAAGTTTAAGTGGTGAAAAATAATGAACTTGCCTTTCCTGACTCTGGAATCCCGGGCCCCTGTTGCCCTCCCGGGCTCCTTTGCTGCAGGTCGGACCAAGGACTGGGTGCAGTGGAGGGTATTCTCTGGTTGCCACGGTTCCAGGGCCAGGCCCCCTTCCACACCCATTCGCCTGAGGTTCCTGATCCCCCTCTGCCTCCAACCCAGCCTGTTCTATCCCAGGACCCTGGACAGAGAGCTGTCAGCCTGAGTGTCAACTCATGGGTGCTGTGCTGAGTGGCTGGGAGGGTGGATGAATGGATGTGTGCATGGATGGACAAATGGACATCAGCAGTGCGGACCAGAGTGTCTCCCCTCCCAGCGCAGACGCTTCCTGATTGATCTTGAGGAGCCTGTGTAGGGGCGGGCTCAGTGGACAGCTGTCTGACGGGGAGGGAGGCGGGGCAGCGCTCCTTAGAGCCCACCTGTGGTTGCCTTGGTCTTAGGCGTTGGAAGAAGTCATATCCTCAGCTCTGGGGAGAGCAAAGCAGGCACCTATATTTATTAAGCACCGCTGTATGCTTGGAAGGGGCCTTTCCCTGCATAACCTTGGCTGCTTGCCGCTGCCCTGGGAAGCAGGGGCTGCCCCCCTATTTCATGGAAGCTGAGGGTCTGGCTTTGGGTGAGGGTCACCTGCCATCCCAGAGCGGGCGGCTTGGCTAGAGAAGGGAGATTCTCTTTCTTTTGGGGCCCCAATGAGGACTACATAAGGGTGCATGTGTGCTGCGCCCGGGTGCACCCACTTGTGTGCAAAGGTGTGTGCACACGTGTGCAGGGGAGGGCCCCACCGTGGGCCCGGCCTGGGCACCTGCAGCCCAGGTGGTGGAGGCCTCAGCCCTGGAGCAAGAGCAGGCACGCAAGCCGGCCTTGAGCTCCCACGGGTGGGTTTGTTCTCTGTCAACCAGAAGTCGGCTGAGAGAAAAGGGAAGCTGACAGCAGACTCTAAACAGGTAACAGGAACATTGCACGCCTACACATCTTTCTTTTAATCTGCCCTGTGACAGGTGCCTTAAAGGAAGTGGAGGGAAAATGCCGCTCAGAGATGCAGGATGATTTGGCCAAGGTCACACTCTGAGCTGGGGTATGAAGGGGCCAGGAGCCCCACACCCCCAGGCCTGCACTGTGGGGCGCTATGCATACCTCCCTCACCTTACTAATGCTTCCCAGCCTCCTGTGAAGTAGGTCTGGCCACACTCACTTTACAGAGGAGGAGAGGCTTAGAGAGAGGCAGAGTGAGTGGCTCAAAGTCACACAATCAGTAGGTGGCAGGGCTGGGATTGAGACCAACTGGGGTTAGCAGATTGGTCCCTGTGCTTGACAAGCTTTGAGTTTGGCTGCTGTTCCCCGTGCTGTGATCCCAGGTCTGCCACCTCTCCAGGTGGTCTCTTCCCTGGAAGAAGAGCAATCTGCTTAGTCAGGTGTCTGCGTCTGTACCATCCAGGGGTGACAGACATCCTCATCTGTGACCTGGATGGTGTCCTTGGGTGGGAACTGGCACCTCCAGCGCTCCCTGGGGGGATGTAGGGAGCGCTGGGAGCCCTCCTACATGAGATGGGGCCTGGGTAGACCTCTAGAGCCTCTGTCTCTGGGCTGCCACCCTGGGCTGTCTCCGGCCCCATGAGAGGCTCTGATTGTCCATTCTCTCAGTTGTGAGGCCTGGGAAGCCCCTGGCATGGCCTGCTAGAGTTGAGGGTCCGAGGACATGGGAGAGGAGCTCACAGAGTTCGTCCGTCTCTGAGGAGAAGCTCGGAAGAGCGGCGTCTGAGCCGGGGCGGCCAGCTCTGGCTGTGTTTCTCTGGCCTGGGGTCCAGGGACTTCTCTGACAGTTTGGGGACCTGGTGGTAGGCAGAGGTGTCTGGGGATGGTGACCCCTCTGTTCTCAGGAGCTGTACCAGGACCTGGGGTTGCGTGACATTGCCACCCGAGGGGGCAGCCACCTCACCTGAGAGTGGGCTGAGGGTCAGGGCTGCCCCGGAGTTGCTTCCCCTGTAGGCTGCTCCGGGGAAGTCCCTTGGGAAACAGGGTGTCCGGTGCGGGACGAGGTCACGGTAGCAGGGCAGGAACTCCTCACTCTCCCAGCATGTGCTGGCGTGGTGCTGCAGATCCAAGGGCGCCACAGCGCCAGTGAGAGGACCGAGGGGTGGGGTGGTTGTTGACACCTTAGGCGGGCTCAGGGCCATAGGCAGAGCGCTCTGGTGGTCAGGGCCCTGGGCCAGGGACCTCTCAGACCTCACCCCTTCTGAGGGGCTTGGGCGGGGCCGGGCCTTCTGGAGGCAGCTGTGGGTCTTCACCAGCCCTCTCTCCGGGCTGTGCCTGCAGTGGGGGCTGGCCAGTTTCAGTCTGCCAGGCTCAAGCCCCTGCCTGCTTGAGGTTCGAGGACGTCCTCAAACGCGACTCTCACCAGGAAGATCTCAAACATCATCTGCTTGGTGTCCTCCTCGTTGATGGCCTGGACCAGGGAAAACTCAGTCTTGGAGGTGGCCACATAGCCTCGCCTGCCTGGAAGAGTCTGAAGTGTGTGTTCAGAAAGAACCGGCTGCACACAGTAGGCAAAGTTACAGTGTACGTCTGGAACAAATGTGTTAGATATGGGACATGTCTCAGCAAAGTGGCTGACGTAGGCTAGGCAGGACCAAGGGCTGCTGCCCAGGGGCCCTGGAGATTCCTAAGAAGCAGGTGGGCTGAAGAATTTGGCCAAATGGAACCCTGGCCCACACTCATGTTACCCCTGTCCCATTTGACAGAAGGACACACTGAGGCCCAGAGGCAGGACTTGTGGCTCGAGTCACACAGCAAGAGAATGACTGAGTTGGGATGGGCCCCAGTCTCCTGGCTCCCAACCCAGCAGTCCTGGTCTGGCGCCAGAGAGGTCAAACCTTCCTGGTGGCTTTCCACAGCCCAACTCCTTCCCATGCTTATTGCGAGCTCCTCGGTTCTTTCTCTTTAGAGAGGTGCTATTCCCTAGTGGTTAGGAGCTGCACTGCCTGAACCTGAGTCTTGTCTGCACTGCATATTAACCAGCAACCACAGATGAGTCACATCAATCTCTTTAGCCCTCAGTTTCTCCAACTGTAAAATGGGACCAAAGTCAGTTGCCATGATGGACACATGGCTCCCCCTAGAGGCAGAGCCTTACCTAGCCCTTCCCCAGACCTTGCTCAGGGGCATGGCAGTGCCTGCCTTCAGGGTCCTGATTTCCTTCCTCCAGGGAAACGGAAGTAGGCTGGCAGAGATTAGCTCCAGGAACTCTAGTGCCCACACCAAGTTGGCAGACAAGTTGGGCGGGGCTGGACGCCCCCTGGAAGTTAGTGGTCCTTAGGTTGGGGCTCACATCCTTAAGCAGATAGAGCTGGGGAAGGTCCCCTGTGTCCAAGGGCTGCAGGGCCCTGCGGGTGAAGGCTGCTTGCTTGCAGACCCTGAGCCAGCCCTCACCTGCTCCCTCCCGGTAGGAGCTGATGAGGTTGTCCAGCAGGGTCTTAGCTGGGCCTGGCAGGGCCTGCTCATGGTAGCTCCAGGGCCCGGATGTGGAGGAGAGTCCTGTGAGCCTCCCCAGGCCCGGTCCAGGCTGGTCAGCCTCTGTCCTGCCCCAACGCTTAAGAAGCCGAGGACGAAATTACGAAAGCAAAAGAGAAAGCTGGACATAGCATGGCCCTGCCACTGCTTGTCACTCCGGAGGGCTGAGATCGCAGGGTGGCCGGGGCTGTACTCCGCTCCCAGTCCCTCTTTCCTCCCAGTGGAGCAGAGCAGCGGTCGGGACCCATCCTCGCCCTGACCCCAAACACCCGGGAAAGCCAAGCGCATCCAGCGCCTGCCTCTTTCCACACCCTCTGCCCTGGTGCCGTCCGTCACCTGCAGACCATTCCGGATGTCACCCTCTAAGGCTCCTTACACCTCATGCTTGAGAGTGTTCTCTGGCTGCAGGTGTGTGCCTTGCTGCTGCGCTGGGCAGGCTATACCGGCCAGGGAGTTCCCACTCGCGGACAACCCTCAACCAACCCAGGAGGCGTGGTGGACAGGAACCCCAGCTTCCTGCTCTTGGTGGGGCAGTTCTTAGGCATGTTCTGTGCTGTCTTTCAGAGGGTCCTCAGTGGGACCCCCCAGGTGTCCACAGGAATAACGTGTTCATGGATGCACTCTATTGGCTCTTCCCCTTCCCCCGTTGTAATTCCAGTGCCTCCTGGGATCCCCTCCCAGGTCCTCGTGTCAGGGACAGCTTATGGGGGGGGGGGCGGCGGGGGCAGAGATGGAAACAATCCTTTATGCATTCTCCCATCTGCCCTTCCCTCTCTCCTTCCCCCTCCCTCCCTTCCTACCCTCCTTCCAT